AAAGTCATGAGAGTTAGCAACACTGCTTTCATTTTTGTTTAAAAGCTAATTACTTTCCAGAAGGTTTGAACACAACACTACAGTCATTGTGTTGCAGTTTTCACAGGAGAATATTTAAAACCAAACACAAAGAAAATTCCACATTTTAAAGTTGAGAAAAAAATTGAGACTTTTAAGGTATATCAGGGCCTGAAGGCAGGAAAGGAAAATAAACAGACACAGGAGCTCTTGGCAGCTCTTCCTCTTGAAAGAACGTTGGAGGGTCAATCTTCCAGTCCTTAATAAAGTAAAACTTCTATTGCCATCAGCACCTCCATTCATAGACATTAAAATCACAATGAACATGTGATAACATTTGGTCAATAACTATACACTTCATACCTAAATATCTGAGCCATCTTATCCAGAGTTATACATCTAATGCGCATTGGCTCAAGGACTACATTTTCTGGCATCGTCTGAGCAGTGCTGAACAAACAGATAGTGCCCAGTGAATTATACAGATAATGACAGTAATTGTCAACTTTATGGACTCTGTGGATGCAGTTTCTCTTCTTTGTTCTGCAGTTGGCCTGAATACAACTGAAACCCTAAGAATTTGAGGCCTAAACACATCTGATACTCATACAACAATTCCTTCCTCTTCTCTAACTCTGAATAAAAAATGACAAAACAAAATGGTATTTCAGTGAAAATCTAAAATTGCACAGCAAGCATTGCTCTGCAACTCAACCTGGGGCAGGACATGCCACCCCTTGCATCTGATTATTTTCTCTTTCTTTCTTTCTTTCTTTTCTTTCCACTATGCTGCTTTTCATACTGTCAACCTTGATATCCTTCCCAATCACCTGGGACCAACTGCTGGAGTCTCCGAGAACTAGCCTTCTTGGTTTTGCTCCCTTCTATCAGATCCCTCTCTTCTGTAGCATGCAGCAGAGGGATAGGCTGGTACAGTGGATAGGGAGCTAGCCCTGAGAGACCTGAGTTCTATTTCCCCCCCCCCAGACTTCCTGTTTGACCTTAGGGACAGGGTTTCAAAGGTTTTTAGGCACCCAAAGATGCAGCTAGGCATGGGAAGTACAAAGCATCTAACCTAGGGGCTTTAAAAATCCCTCTAAGTGCCTAAATACCTTTGAAAATCTGGCCTTTAGTTTCTCTGTGCCTCAGTGCCCCATCTGCACAATGGGGATAACAGCACTGCTCTACCTCACCGAGGGCCTGTGATGTGAGACGCTCAGATACTATGGTGATGTGGCCACATAAGTACTACAGGTAGAGTGGGAACTTCTGTATACCACAGCTATCCCATCCCTGGGTTTTGGGCCCTTCTTTTCACCTACATCCCTCACATCTCCCTCTTTTCTGAATGTAAACTTGGCTTAGAGGGCTTGGCTGTATTTCTTCTGAGTCTCCTACAGACTCAGGGGGTGGGGATTTCTTCAATACCCCCACCCCCTGCAGTGGGATTCCTGTTTTACAGGTTCATCTAATGACTTCCAGATCCTTAATTTAATTACCAGCCTTTTCTTATCTTAATCACCCTGTCTCTGTTCCTAAACAAAATACTGACTCCCTGCTCCAGGGGCACAAGCTGGGAGAAGTATCTCTCTGCAGAACTCACAATCCCCACTAATGCTGTGCAGTTAAGAGCGCCCCGCCTGCGAGCACACCTCCTGTACGAAATTCAGGATTCTTATTGTCCTAAACTCTGGGTGCCACAGATTTCTCCATGTGTTCCTTTGCTTTCCTTTTTAATTTTCTACAATTCATAGCTTCTGATTTATATTCATTACTATCAACTTCCCATTTCTTCATATATTTATATCTGCCTTCACTTCCCCTCTACATCAGGTTATTTACATAAGCACAAAGTTAGTGTGAAATCCTATTTTTCAGAGTTAGTGCTTTACGCTAAAGCCATGCAACTTGACTTGAACCGGATGTGACCCAACTGGAAGTGTCGGATCAGGTGGGAAAACAATTGGACTCTGATGGGTTTAGTTGACTCTCTTCCTGCTTGTGACAGGTTTCAGAGAAGCAGCCGTGTTAGTCTGTATTCGCAAAAAGAAAAGGAGTACTTGTGGCACCTTAGAGACTAAGAAATTTATTTGAGCATAAGCTTTCGTGTAGCTCACGAAAGCTTATGCTCAGATAAATTTGTTAGTCTCTAAGGTGCCACAAGTACTCCTTTTCTTCCTGCTCGTAGTGTCAGCACAGTGGCAGCTGCGTGCCCTGCTCCAGCCTGCTACCACCACTTCACTGCACTGTGTGTGCCTACTGAGGAGCTGCAGCACCTCTCACTTGGCAACACGCATAGGGTGCAGCAACGGGCAGCAATTGGCAGGAGCAGAGCATACAGCCACTGGTAGTGGCACAGCCAGCTGCTATCATGCTGAGACCATGGGCAATGGTGACTCAAGTTCAGGGAGAACAAACAGGTCAGAAAAACGACATGATGCTCTTGAGGTCAGGCCTAAAAATTAGTCCTGAACAGATCTCTCTACTTTATATTTGCTTTGCCTTGTTGTAAATGACTACTGACAGTGCAAGGTGTTGGAAAACCTGGCCTATGGTCTGCTCACCTCTGGCAGAACCAATGCAGTCTGAACCAGTTTGTCCCCACTCTGGATAGGAAGTTGCACCAGTTCAGATAGTTGTCTTAACTCTGTCTGACAATGCAGTTCCTAACGGTTTACAACAAATTAAATGCTCCGCTTTTAAGCTCACTTTTTATTAAGCTTTTCTTAATAATTTATTTTGGTATATCATATTGTGTCGTTTTTTGAGTGCAATAACCTGTACTTTTATCCTGAAAGCTCAAACAATTCATCCTCTCAGTTTTGCACTTCAGTTCCAGCATTCAAATACGGCTTCTATTGCTGCATGAACTGACTACACAATTGTACCAGTTGCTAATTATTTTGGTTTTTAGCAATTTAGACATGAAGACTAAATCAGTTTTAGCACATGTAACACATTTAGTCACATCTCATTTGAATTTCGCACATGTATTAATTTTATATATATGATGGAATTTCTCCTCCATTCCCCCTCTGCTTATTTAATTGATAAACAATATAAGAACATATCCCCAAATAGCTAGAATCTTTCCCTTTGCCTGTGTACTTTCCACTTATAAAAGCTGGCTGCTAAATAATAGGACTTTCACGAAGAATTGGAAACTCTTTCAATAACTGGCTCCTACCACTTGCAAACAGTTAACCTTTTTTACATGGGTGGTGGGTGAACACCCGCTTTGGGGAGGCTAGCCCGCCAGCTGCGCCCCTTACACCCGACCCCATCCCCGTAACAGGAGGAGCCTTGAGGGGGGGCGCCCCCGTGACTGCAGGAGCCCCAGGGCTCCCCACCCCAGCCACGCAGGGCCAAGCCACCTCCTAACGCCACTGAGCGCCGGACCGAGCTGCCCGGCCAAACCAGGCCAACCCGGGCCGAGACGCCCCCCAGCCGGGCTGCACCCCGGCCCCCCCAAGCTCCAGGCCAGCCCCAGCCACGCCAGGCCAGGGTGCCGAGGAGGAGGGATGCAGCAAGCAATGGCAGGCAGGCAGCAGCAGACGGTGGGGGCTCAGGGAAGGAGAAGGGGCAGAGCCACTGTGGCTTAGCCTTCCCTGGCCTATTATAGCTGCCACCCATGATCATTTATCATTATTAAGCTAACCCACTGAGTTTGGACCCTGAGCTTCTCCCATCAAATTCTCTAAATTCATTTCTTGGCCTCCATCTCCAGTGCCCCCCCCTTTGAATTCCGCTACGTGTGTTATTTTAAATTATTAAGTACTAATTAGCTATATTTTAAAATAGATTCCTGGAGTTTGGATACCTTATTCTTGTCTACTTTATGGGTTTCTGGTCTGACAGGGGTTTTCTGTCTTTGTTTTCATTCCCTGTGCACTCATCTTAGGCTCTGCCATCTGCCAGAAAGTAAAATTTACTTCATCATCTGTAAAAACAGCAAAGAGTCCTTTGGCACCTTATAGACTAACAGACTATTGGAGCATAAGCTTTCGTGGGTGAATATCCACTTCGTTGGATGCATGTTCATCATCTGTATTTTCTCCAAATGCTTCACTGTATTCTTTTGGCCACAGATCCTAAATTCCAAAGGAATGTTTTCTTCTTTTGGATCATAGAAACTATAAAAATGGTTTTGAAAAATAAACAGCAGTTTAAAAGGGAATCCCCATTTATAGAAGATGTCTCTCCTATCTCTGTAATATCTTGTAGTTCCTATCTTAAAGAAAATGCAATGGAGGGGAGAGAAATTATGTCACGTTACAACATTTTTGCCTAGATTAGAACCATCTAGTTTGAGGGTATGTCTGCACTGCAGATAAAGGTGTGACTGTATCACAAGTAGGCACACCTATGTTTATTTGAGGCTAGCTAACGTGAGTAACAATAGTAGTGTAGACATAGCAGCACAGCTTAACAACCAGAGTACAGATACAAGTCCCCAAAGTGCTTGTACTCTGGTTGCTAGACCATGCTGAAGCCCATCCTTCTATATCATTGCTGCTGCTGTTACCCATACTATCTAGAATAATGCTAGCACAGGTATGCCTACGCATGCTAGGATCACATCTTCACTTGCAGTGTAGACATACCCTGAGTCCTCGATCCAAAGTAATGTTTATCCAAATTTTGTTTAATAACCTATATCAGTTTTGTAAAATTCTACTTGCCCAGGATAAATAATTTAATTTTTGACAAGCAAGTGAAATATAAATATTTCATTAACATCAGACTCTCCATGTTCAGGGTGGGTGAGTAGATTTTTCTGTCAGAGGTAATAAATTTTCCTGGCTGTTTTTCAAAAATGAGATGTAGGTACCCTGAGTTACGCTCCTCCCTCCAAAGTCACTGCAATCCTTTTTGTATGTGATATGTAGCGGGAAAGAATGGGAAACTGAAACCATAATTAACACATCATTCAAATGTTATATAAACAAGTTGATTGGTTTCTGTTTTTTTTTGTTTTTAAGATGGCGTGGTTGTGTCTGGAAAAATGGATAACAAACTAGATGTGTACATGTCTGAAGCAGAAATGAAAAACAAAGAGGAAAGAACAGAACAAGAGTCTATAAGGGAGTCTGATAGTACTATTTTGGATGCCTCATCTGATTCTCCAAGAGGTTTGCTAATAAACTGCAGGAATCTTTATAGTAGGGGAGGGGGAAAGGATGTGAAATGTCATAGTACAGGTTGTGCTCCAGTTTCTATTTCAGCCACAAATATATACTGATACACAGAAAAGGCTGTACTCCCTCTGATGCCCTGGATTTCAGATGTTTTTCATCTGAGCTGGCATTTTCCCCTGAATCATTTCTAGAAATCTCTTCTAAGGCGCTTACTGACACAGGAGCATAAAACGAGTCATGTTGTGAAAGAGCTGGGGTCTGCATCCATATTGTAACTGAAAGTGCCACCTTTTTCATTCTCTTGGTTCAGATCCGTGACAGTGACTAGAGAAAGGCATTGTATTGAGCACAGAACTGGGAGCTAGAAATTTCTGGGTCGTAATTCCAGTTCCAACACTTACGAGCTCCCTGGCCTTGGGCAAGTAATGTAATCCCTGCTTCAGTTTCCCTACCTCATAAGGTACTGTGAAGTTTAAGGTTTTTAAAAGGTTTTAAAAGTGGAAAACCACTATAAAGTCAAGTATTATAATGAATCTGGGTCTCCTGTGTCAGAGCCGCGCAATACAGTATGTAAAGGCAACAGCCAGACTGGTTATCTGTCAGTAAGGAATGGTGCCGAATTTAGTAAAAGCAAGAGAAGTTGTGAGTATTTGAAAGGTTTCAGAGGAGCAGCCGTGTTAGTCTGTATCCGCAAAAAGAACAGGAGTACTTGGGGCACCTTAGAGACTAACTAATTTATTACAGCATAAGCTTTTGTGGGCTACAGCCCACTTCATCAGATGCATAGAATGGAACATATAGCATGAAGATAGATAAATAGATATGCATACAGAGAAGGTGGAAGTTGCCATACAAACTGTAAGAAGCTAATTAATTAAGATGAGCTATTATCAGCATGAGAAAAAAACTTTTGTAGTGATAATCAAGATAGCCCATTCAGACAGTTGACAAGAAGGTGTGAGAATACTTAACATGGGAATCCACAAATAAAAGATGTAAACGTGTGAAATTCTTCAGTTTAGCTTTTTGAATATCTTTAAAAAACAAAAACATGGGTTAAGTATCCTCACACCTTCTTGTCAACTGTCTAAATGGGCCATCTTTATTATCACTACAAAAAGTTTTTTTTCTCCTGCTGATAATAGCTCATCTGAATTAATTAGCCTCTTACAGTTTGTATGGCAACTTCACCTTCTCTGTATGTGTGTGCATACAGATATATATAGATCTTCTTACTATATGTACCATTCTGTGCATCCGATGAAGTGGGCTGTAGCCCACAAAAGCTTATGCTCTAATAAATTTGTTAGTCTCTAAAGTGCCACAATTACTCCTGTTCTTTTTGAGTATTTGAAAGTAATTTTAGAGGGAGTTAATCTCAACCCTGCCAGAAAAACAGCCCAGAATGGATGAGGGATTTGAGGTGTATAATGTGCCGTGGTTGTATTAATAATTGTACTTTGTACTAATATAGTAAAGTAAAAAGAAAAGGAGTACTTGTGGCACCTTAGAGACTAACCAATTTATTTGAGCATGAGCTTTCGTGAGCTACAGCATGGAGTGGAAATCTATCAACTGCATGAAAAAACTTGTACAGATACAGACAGACATCATCTTCCTTTCCAAATGCAAACAGATGGACATCGTACCAAAAGGACTGAAGGTAAAAAATCCATTACAATCTACATACCACACAGACTATGCTGACAGCTTGTGCCTCACGCTCTCAAAGAAACTGCGGAATCACCTGATCAAGATCCTCTACAGCAAACAGGGAAAGATTAAGAATGAGCTCTCAAAAATGGATACTCTCATAAAGAACCAACCTTCCACACAAACTTCCTCGTGGCTGGATTTTACTAAAACTAGACAAGCCATTTACAACGCACACTTTGCTTCTCTACAAAAGAAAAAAGACACTAAACTTTCTAAACTACTACATGCTACAAGGGGCCACAGCAATGGTTCCCTCACCCCACCTAGCAATATTGTTAACCTATCCAACTATACTCTCAGCCCAGCAGAAGCAGCTGTTCTATCTCGGGGCCTCTCCTTCTGCCCCTCCACCCCCACGAACATGATACAGTTCTGTGGTGACCTAGAATCCTATTTTCGACGTCTCCGTCTCAAGGAATATTTCCAAAATACCTCTGAACAACATACTAATCCACAGAGGTCTCCCTGCCAACACTACAGAAAGAGGGATTCTAGATGGACTCCTCCTGAAGGTCGAAACAGCAGACTGGACTTCTACATAGAGTGCTTCCGCCGACGTGCACAGGCTGAAATTGTGGAAAAGCAGCATCACTTGCCCCATAACCTCAGCCATGCGGAACGCAATGCCATCCACAGCCTCAGAAACAACTCTGACATCATAATCAAAAAGGCTGACAAAGGAGGTGCTGTTGTCATCATGAATAGGTCGGAATATGAACAAGAGGCTGCTCGGCAGCTCTTAAACACGAGTTTCTACAAGCCATTACCCTATGATCCCACTGAGAGTTACCAAAAGCAACTACAGCATTTGCTCAAGAAACTTCCTGAAAAAGCACAAGATCAAATCCGCACAGACACACCCCTGGAACCCCGACCTGGGATATTCTATCTACTACCCAAGATCCATAAACCTGGAAATCCTGGGCGCCCCATCATCTCAGGCATTGGCACCCTGACAGCAGGATTGTCTGGCTATGTAGACTCCCTCCTCAGGCCCTACGCTACCAGCACTCCCAGCTACCTTCGAGACACCACTGATTTCCTGAGGAAACTTCAATCCATCAATGATCTTCCTGATAACACCATCCTGGCTACTATGGATGTAGAAGCCCTCTACACCAACATTCCACACAAAGATGGATTACAAGCCGTCAAGAACACTATCCCCGATAATGTCACGGCTAACCTGGTGGCTGAACTTTGTGACTTTGTCCTTACCCATAACTATTTCACATTTGGGGACAATGTATACCTTCAGATCAGCGGCACTGCTATGGGTACCCGCATGGCCCCACAGTATGCCAACATTTTTATGGCTGATTTAGAACAACGCTTCCTCAGCTCTCGTCCCCTAAAGCCCCTACTCTACTTGCGCTATATTGATGACATCTTCATCATCTGGACCCATGGAAAAGAAGCCCTTGAGGAATTCCACCATGATTTCAACAATTTCCATCCCACCACCAACCTCAGCCTGGTCCAGTCCACACAAGAGATCCACTTCCTGGACACTACAGTGCTAATAAACAATGGCCACATAAACACCACCCTATACCGGAAACCTACTGACCGCTATTCCTACCTGCATGCCTCCAGCTTTCACCCTGACCACACCACACGATCCATCGTCTACAGCCAAGCTCTGCGATACAACCGCATTTGCTCCAACCCCTCAGACAGAGACAAACACCTACAAGATCTCTGTCAAGCTTTCTTACAACTACAATACCCACCTGCAGAAGTAAAGAAACAGATTGATAGAGCCAGAAGAGTTCCCAGAAGTTACCTACTACAGGACAGGCCTAACAAAGAAAATAACAGAACGCCACTAGCGGTCACCTTCAGCCCCCAACTAAAACCCCTCCAACGCATTATTAAGGATCTACAACCTATCCTAAAGGATGACCCAACACTCTCACAAGTCTTGGGAGACAGGCCAGTCCTTGCCTACAGACAGCCCCGCAACCTGAGGCAAATACTCACCAACAACCACATACCACACAACAGAACCACTAACCCAGGAACTTATCCTTGCAACAAAGCCCGTTGCCAATTGTGCCCACATATCTATTCAGGGGACACCATCACAGGGCCTAATAACATCAGCCACACTATCAGAGGCTCATTCACCTGCACATCCACCAATGTGATATATGCCATCATGTGCCAGCAATGCCCCTCTGCCATGTACATTGGTCAAACTGGACAGTCTCTACGTAAAAGAATAAATGGACACAAATCAGATGTCAAGAATTATAACATTCATAAACCAGTCGGAGAACACTTCAATCTCTCTGGTCACGCAATCACAGACATGAAGGTCGCTATCTTAAAACAAAAAAACTTCAAATCCAGACTCCAGCGAGAAACTGCTGAATTGGAATTCATTTGCAAATTGGATACTATTAATTTAGGCTTAAATAGAGACTGGGAGTGGCTAAGTCATTATGCAAGGTAGCCTGTTTCCTCTTGTTTTTCCTCCCCTACCCCCCCCCCCCCAGATGTTCTGGTTTAACTTGGATTTAAACTTGGAGAGTGGTCAGTTTAGATGAGCTATTACCAGCAGGAGAGTGAGTTTGTGTGTGTATGGGGGTGGGGGGGATGTGAGAAAACCTGGATCTATGCAGGAAATAGCCCGACTTGATTATGTAAAGAGTTGTCACTTTGGATGGGCTAGCACCAGCAGGAGAGTGAATTTGTGTGGGGGGGTGGAGGGTGAGAAAACCTGGATTTGTGCTGGAAATGGCCCACCTGTTGATCACTTTAGATAAGCTATTACCAGCAGGACAGTGGGGTGGGAGGAGGTATTGTTTCATATTCTCTGTGTGTATATAAAGTCTGCTGCAGTTTCCACGGTAAACATCTGATGAAGTGAGCTGTAGCTCACGAAAGCTCATGCTCAAATAAATTGGTTAGTCTCTAAGGTGCCACAAGTACTCCTTTTCTTTTTGCGAATACAGACTAACACGGCTGTTCCTCTGAAACCTGTCAATATAGTAAAGTATATCTGTGATATACTGGGCTTGCCAAACAGCTCATAGGACAGTTTTGCATTTGCATACCACATTTTTCATGATGTGCTCTCAGTCTATGGAATGGCATCAGCAAAGAATCCACAAATATAAGATATAAACATTGTGTGAAATTCTTCAGTTTAGCTTTTTGAATATCTTTAAAAAACAAAAATAAATAAATCTGGAACATGTAGGAATTCAGATAAGTTACTCCATTCTGTCTATAGCACTTTCATCAGATCTAAGTTTTAAAGGTGAAGAATACAAAATATTATTCCAGGTGGCACAAGACTCCCTCTCAGCTAGCATTAGAATTGAAGTGGCTGACAGAAGAACAATATGAACTGAAAAATAATTGGGATGTGAAAGCAGAAGTGTTTAACTTGAAAATCTCTTTAACTTTTAGAGAAACATATTTCAATTCAAAAACAGCTTGCTGATCTAGAGAAACTAGCTGACCTGAGTGAAAGTGAGTTTACCTCAGCTGTTACCCAGAATACAGATCAACATGTTGCAGGTATTTACATTCTTCTTTTTAATTTATTTTAAAAAATTGTCATTTTTTTGTACTCGAGTGTTTGAGTCTTCAAGTTTGGAAGTTTTGTGTTTTTTTAAATTGCTTACTGTTTTTTCCCCACCATTTAGCTAACATCAGTTCCCACTTCATGTACCCCATTCTTAATGAAATAGGAAAGGCCCCAGTGGCTCCATTTTTGTTTATTTTTCTCTCAGCATAGTAGCATCAGTACTGTCATGAACATACATAGCTAAGAAAATTGTGTTACCCTGTTGGCCTACAGCTAGAAGTTATGCTCAAACATTGTTTTCTAGTGTCATGCCAGAGGGGTGATCAATATATTCCTTGTTTGAAATTAAAAGAATAGGATTATTATTTGAATAGTTGTCCTCTTTGCAGCTGTTATTTCACTGTCTGGCTTGCCTCAAAGCATTTTTACTTGTAACTGTTACCTCCCCAGGAAGCATCGTGGCCAGAAAACATTGGAAGGTTAGTCTCAGTATTCTTTTCAGGACGGTAGCTGTTGTCCTGAATTTAAGGGTCGTATATACCCCAGAATATGATCAAACTAATTGCAATCATATTATGTGCACTCACCCACTATAAAGTAATAAAACAAAACACCACATAGTTAAGGGTGAATTGAAAAACAGGATTTCAAAAGCAAGGTCATAATTATTTGGCAGTTTCTGCTATTCAAAATTTTTTTTTAAAAAAAAAGAACAAGTCAACGACTAAAACAAACAAAAACAATGGATAAAAAACCTTAAATCTAGTCACCTCTAATATTAAAAGTTTATTAAAAAATTTAAAAAGTAATAATTTAGTAGGCTCACTATAGCCTATACGTTTTATAAAAATTAATTATAAATAAATTAGCTAATAAAATATACTTTAAAACACACCTCTAAAGCCATATTAAAAAATATTTTTCCTAATACCTTTTCTCCATGGTGGGTAAGCAACTGGCCACTGTGAACCTGCTGTTAATTACCTAATACAGTTGCATGTACGAATCATATGTCAGAGCAGAATAAGACTCTGAAAGCTGGATTTTTATTTGAGGGTGGCATTTGAGTTATTCTGAATACCTTTCAGTGCCAATGGATTCTTATACAAATTAATCATCACATCCCTGACTTTAATGTTTCTAGAATTGTTGCTTTAACATAGACTAGAGAAAATGATTTATTCTAAAGAAGGGATTTAAGAGTCTTGTCTGAAAGTTCGTTTTGGAGATTCGGAGGAGAGAGAGAAAGCAGACTCTAGCACTAAACAAAGTAGGGGCACTGCCAGCAGATCGAGGGACGTGATCATTCCCCTCTATTCGACATTGGTGAGGCCTCATCTGGAGTACTAAGTCCAGTTTGGGGCCCCACACTACAAGAAGGATGTGGAAAAATTGGAAAGAGTCCAGCGGAGGGCAACAAAAATGATTATGGGGCTGGAGCACATGACTTATGAGGAGAGGCTGAGGGAACTGGGATTGTTTAGTCTGCAGAAGAGAAGAATGAGGGGGGATTTGATAGCTGCTTTCAACTACCTGAAAGGGGGTTCTAAAGAGGATGGATCTAGACTGTTCTCAATGGTAGCAGATGACAGAACGAGGAGTTATGGTCTCAAGTTGCAGTGGGGGAGGTTTAGGTTGGATATTAGGAAAAACTTTTTCACTAGGAGGGTGGTGAAGCACTGGAATGGGTTTCCTAGGGAGGAGGTGGAATCTCCTTCCTTAGAGGTTTTTAAGACCCGGCTTGACAAAGCCCTGGCTGGGATGATTTAGTTGGTATTGGTCCTGCTTTGAGCTGGGGGTTGGACTAGATGACCTCCTAAGGTCCCTTCCAACCCTGATCTTCTATGATTAATGTGTTTTTTTAAAAGATTTTGCTTGAAGTGTAGTTACTCTGAAATGAGGAAAATGGCACTGTGTGGGGCTCCATGGGTATTGTGTTTCAATGACTTCCTGATGAAATTTACAAGTAAAATTTCCCCCCATCTCCGAGCTTGGTAAACTCAACCTGGAAACTGAAAGTCAAACTGGGTTCTTTCTGCCTTGTGCATCAATAATAGCAAAAGTTGTATAGTTAGAACTGTGTAATTCTCTGATTGATGTCCATGCCAGAAATATCTAACTCATGCTCCTGAATCTGTATTTACATGGCTCATTAGCAATGTTCCCTCTAATTTTTGACAGGCCATGTGTGCAAAAAATTTCTTCTGTACAAATTGTTGTGCTTCTGTGCAAATTTTTGTGCGTGCGGTGTTTCACCATGTGCGTGGGGTTTAGGATCTGTGTGTGCGCACGTGTAAAGCTTAGAGGGAACAGTGCTCATGAGTAAAAAGTAGCAAAAACTTAGTTTGTCAGTAACTAGATATGAATCTGAGTACACAGAGAGAAGATGAGTTGAGTAAGAACATGTCAGAAAAATGACTGTGTAAATGACATTAGCCACACTTTGAAATATTATTTGATGAGCAATTCACTGAGAGTGGATTGGGTTGAAATAATTATTATTTATTTGTATTGTGGTAGTGCTTAGGAAGCTCTACAAACACACAACAAAAAGATGGCCCCTGCCCCAAGGAGCTAACAATCTTAAGTATAAGACAAGAGGCAACAAGTAGATAGAGCATCATGAATAAAACAAAAATTAGAAAATGTTGTTGGAGGTTTTAAAGGGCATATGATACCTGCATGAATGGCATTTTGGGATTATAAACTTAAATATGTCTGAATTTACAGAGCGTAATCTTTTATTAGACAAAAACACAATTCTACCTATACTAGATGTGGAGGAAAATAATGTTTTATCTCAAATATGCATTAGTTGAATGTATGGAAATGTATACAACTATATAGCGACATATACAACTCTAATCTGCTTATTAACTGCATACTTGTATCTCCTTGTTTTGTTCTTATACGGATTTTCAGCTGGAAAGAAGCCTTGCCCACTGTGTCCTGAAGAGAAATTCAAAGCTTGCTATAGTCATAAGCTCCATCGCCACCTTCAAAATTTGCATTGGAAGGTTTCTGTTGAATTTGAAGGTAAAGTCTTTTATACTTGAATAGATTGCTTATATTTTATGGAACAAAGTACAGCATAAGATTAAGTGGCAACGTAGAGCCCAATTCTGTAGTCCCCGTACATTTAAAATTTCCATTGACATCAGTGGGAGTTTCACTGTCATAAAGACTGCTAGATTTTGACCCTAAATCAGAGCCAATGGTATGTTCCTCTTTAAACTTGGTGTTTATAGCAAAAGTTAGTGTCTGTATTTCATTTTTTTCTGCCAGTTTAAAAATTGCTACATGTATATATTAAATTACTTTTTAATATTAATATCAGGAAATATCTATGGATATTTCACCTTAATGTGAGTTTGTTTATATACACCTAATCAGTGGTGCAAATAAAATCCATTTCTTAGGGCGGGGCGGAGACCAGCAAAGGGGAGCACGTGACCCTCCATGTGACTCCTCACTACCCAGCCCGGGGCCCCGTCGCCTCCCCACATCCATCCCATGTTACCTAGTGGGGAGCTCTGTCATCCTCCTGCTGCACCAGAGACTTTTGGGCAGTAGTCTCCCAGGAACAGCAGCAGGGAAAGGAGCAGAACCCCCAGGCCTGCCCACTGCCCTTCCATGGAGTTGTTTCTCTGTCCTCCCTCTGTGTACCACAGCAGCAGCCCCGCCAGAGGACTGGGCTGGGGGCGGGAGTGAGGCTGGGGGCAGTTCAGCCGCTGGAGAAGCTGCCGGCATTCTGCTCCTTTCCCCGCTGCCCCTCCCAGCGGGAAAAGGAGCAGAACTCCCAGCCCCGCCCCCCAGCCCTCTCCTCTGGTGGGGCTGCTGCTGTGGTACACAGACAGAGACGCAGCTCCTTGGAAGGGCAGGGGAAGGGGCTGGGATTTTTCCAGGGGGCTGGGTGGGGCAGTGGGGAAAGGAGCAGAACCCCCCCAGCCCTGACCTCCAGCTCTCTTCTCCGGCAGGGCTGCTTCTGTGTCTTTTCGGTATGCCATACCAGCTATAAATAGTTTGCTAGTATGGGATACTGGCCTATTTGCACCACTGCACCTAATCCAATTTCAGAGAAGTAAGCCTCTCTATAAAATGCAGAGCTTTATAGTGTATGGACACTTAACTAATACCATAAAGTTTTGTAATGTATAACCAAATGAAAGTCAATTTTGGCCTATCATATAAATGAATATCTCAAACTAAAAGTATGTGATTCTCTGTTTTCTACTGCACACTTTTAAAATAGTTTCAAGCTAAGCATTTTTTAATGGAAAGTAATTGCTTAGCAAGTCATGAAAATAGTGTTCAAACTGTAAATATTTGTGATTTTCGTTTTGTTAGTTAAAAGTTTTCAGTTAGTTTCTCAATATAGTCATTTGTGCATTTACTTTATATAGCTGTACAAGCTGATCAGGAAGATTCTTCAGTTCTGAAGAAATTGTTTCAAATACCAATGTATTTAGTTGTCATGTGTTATATGTAAGCACAATATTGTGATGACTTGTTTACAAAATGCATTGAAGTCCAATAGTAAAAATAGGAATTGGAATGGAGGGAGCATACACGCTCAAAACAAAGAAAAAGATAGCGTGGTCTGCTATAGAAAAGCAAATGTAGAGTGAAGGCAGGAAGGGGGAACAAGGTGCCAATAAGAAGACACAGTAGGTTACACTTCTAAAGTTTATTATATGGAAAATTGTTTGGCAGTATTATATTTACCTACAGTACACAAAAGTGTTTTATTTGTTTAAATTGCAGTCAAGGCTTTTGTGGTGTTCACAGCACAGGTATTTTCATTGGTTAGTAGGCTGTGAGTTTTATTTGAAGTCTATGGGACTTGGAACCTAAGTGGTTAAAAGTCTCTTTTGAAAATGGAACTTAGGAGCCTAAAAAGTTTAGATGCTTTTGAAAAGGTTACCAGTCAGGTAGATGTTTCAAGTCCTAACAACTACCCAGTACAGTTCTGCGACCTGAGTGCCTGTCAGTGATTTTTTGTTTGTTTTAAAGTTTAACAGCAGAAGCATCTCTATATTGATAGGATATATGTACCAGAATACAAATAAATAATAAGAGTAAATAATAGCATCTACTTATTGTAGAAGCACCTAAGGTGCTCAAGCAAGGTCCCATTACAATTGTACTAACAAGTAACAAATAAGATAATCCTTACCCCCAAATTGCTTATGATATATGATAGTTATGTACTATGTATTTACCATACTGTAAGGTGACCAGAACTAGTTTGTTTTCCAGGATACAGAATGTGCATCTGTCACTTACCTTGTCGCCCAGTGAAGCCAAACCTCATTGGAGACCAGGTAACAAATACTAGATCACATATGCTCATTTACTCAATAAAAAAGGGGAAACTAGGAAGAACTTTTGTGAAGTGTTTCAGTGTAGTCTTCAAACATACGTTGTTTTCTGTAATGGGATACAGAACCTTATGATCCCCAATTCAAATTCAGCCAAGATCTTTAGGTGGTGAGAATTAAACCTTTCTGATGTTAGTTGAATGGCCTATGGTATGTGTAATGGATTTGGTGGTCTCAGTCCTGTTCACCATGGAACGTCACATAAAATAGTACCACATTTTGGACTAATTAGCAACCTTGTTTGCAGTCACAGGAGAGGCCAGATACTTAAGACACAGAAAATAAATGTATTCTTTTGACCCCTAGAAGTGATCTTTTTGGGTCAGATAGAGAGAGGGGCAGTCGTATGGAGAAAGCCAGTACTGTCACTTCCCATGCTATGCCTTTTCTGTGCACGTACTTTTGTCAGCAGTCTCCAGTCCAGAACCCTGTGGGATATCAATAAATAATTACGATGCATACTTATTGGGAACTAAATCCTGAAACAAATAAGTCCTGAACCCCTTCTTCTGGCCTTCCAACAACCCCCCAGAAGCAAGCTCCCCACAGACCAGGACACGCCAACTCAAAGCGGAAGACCCTTCCATAACAGACGCAAAACCTGTAGACACATTTCCACTGCTGTGATGATCTTAACCCACCCAACACACCCTGCAAAATCCATGGGTCCTACACATGCCTATCACTGCATAGTGTACCTCACCCAGTGCACTAAATGCCCCAAACAAGAACAACTATATGGGTAAAACAAGACAATTTATGTGCTCTCGAATGAACATAAAAGAGAAAAAACACACTATCACCTATGGGTGAATACTTTTCACAAAGCAGTCATTCCATATCCAATCACTCTCAGTCCTCATCTTGAAAGGAAACTTGTATAACACTTTCCAAAAAAATGAGCATGGAAGCTTAAATTCGTAACTTTGCTAGACACTAAAAATCATGGACTGAATAAGGACACTGAATTTACGGTTTACTACAACAATCTGTAACCCACTAACCTCCCGTTTCTGTCTTATGACTGTAGCGGTGTTAACTCACCACTTCACCTTGAGTGTTGTCTTTCAGTGTGTGCTAACTATTTATGATAAACAATCTGTTCCACCTTGAATTTAGCTGTGATATCAGGTCAGGTCTACACTACAAGCATACATCGGTATAACTACATCACTTGGGTGTGAAAAATCCACACCCCTGAGTGACATAGTTATACCATCCTAATCCCCAATCTAGACAGCTACCATTTCCCGCAGAGGTGGATTAACTATGCTGACAGGAGAAGCTCCCATGTGGTAGCATCTTCACTAAAACGCTACAGCAGCAAAGCTGCACAGGTGTTACTTCACTCACTTTGTTTCCCTGTATTTTAAAACTACACTGACTCCTTTACAGAGCTCTACGAAGATGGGAGCCCATTATCACTGCATCATCTGTTCTGCAACCATCACGCGAAGGACTGACATGATAGGGCATATTAAGCGCCATGTGAACAAAGGAGAAACTGAGTCCAGGTATATTGCAGGTAAATTATTTAATGTTCCTGCTTTATTTGTAAATGGTTCCTTTACACGGTGCATTGTGTGTTATAGCTGGGCTATATGTTTGAGGGACTGTCAAAAGTAAGCCTGTGCTAAAAGCAAGTTTGCTCAGGGTTAGGAGGAAATAAAAACAAGAGAGATCTATCCTTTATAATATAGGTTGCCAAACCTTTATAACATAGGTTGTTAATCTGACCTTTTTTCTTGGATAACCCCAAAAGGCTGGCGTGCTGAGTTTGTAGTGTTTACCCTCTGCTCTGCCCTCCTGCTTTGTAGCCTATACATGTAGGTATTTGCTAGGTAAGGCATCGGCATAAGAAAGCTAGTAAAGCAATGAGCTTACAGGCCTCAGGCCTGAAAGACAATAGGTTAGCTAAACAAGGCACAAGGCCCAAAAGCCTTAGCATACGCAGTTAACCAGGAGTAACCCTAGGTCAGAGGTTCTGAATCTTTTTCTTTCAGAGACTCCTCCCTCCCTCCCTCCCTCCCAACAGGCTATAAAAACTCCATGGCCCACTTGTGCCACAATAACTGGTTTTCTCCATATAAAAGCCAGGGCTGGTATTAGAGCATAACAAGCAGGGCAATTGCCTGGGGTCCTATGCCACAGGGGCCCCCCCCACAAAGCTACATAGTTCAGGCTTCAGCTTCAGCCCCTGGTAGTGGGGTTCAGGGACCTGGGCTTCAGCCTCATGCCGTGGAGCTTTGGCTTTCTGCCCTGTGCCCCAGTAAGTCTAATGATGGCCCTGCTTGGAGGCCCCCCCTGAAACCTGCTCAAGGCCCCCTAGGGGGCCCTGGAACCTCTGGTTGAAAACTACTGCCCTAGATCATAAGATATCACAAGATGGAACACTGTCATGACTCAACTGCTGACAGATAACCACAAGATGCTAGTTTATAGCAGCTATTTGGGATATTTTAAGTTAGGAACATCAGCAGATATCTGACACAAGAGAGCCATGGTACCTAATTGATGTATATGCTAATGAGTTTGAGGTAAAAGGCCTAGTAACCTATGGGAGAAAGGCACCCCAACATTAGTAGGGTGAGGAAACACAAAAGGGGAGAAGCTCTTACTGAATATGCATTAGGCATAGTAGCATCAATGTAATACATTATAGAAGTTATATCCCGGCCTGCGTCCCTTGGGAAAAGCAACTCTTGGGAGATGCCAGGATGACTGTTACTGGTGATGGTGATGATGATGATGGAGAGAATGATACTTCAGGTCCTTTTGAAAGGGATGGTGTGAGTATATGGCTGCTCAGATGCACAGTCTGTATTATCTCTATCTACATTGCTGGGTTTGAAGTGTTTGACTTTACTAATTGTGTTGGTAAAACTATTGCAAATTCAAAGGCTTTTCCTAAGTGAGAGTGTTGCAACCGTGCACGTCAGGGTTCCCATCAGAATAATAATTGTAATACCGGGCCTAATCTTTGGACGAGAACCTACCAAACCTCAGTGTTAATTAGGAATTCTTAAGTGATTGATATAATTAGTACACGATTAATAGATCAGGCAACAGCTCTGTTTTTTGCTCATAAAAAAACGTTATTTTGCATTAGCTTGATAATCTTGGAAATGTCAATACCCAACCTTTTCAAAAGAATGGCACAGATAGTGGGAGACAGTACCCGTAAAACAAAACTGGCATGGCTAATTTCATGCCTCCCTGTTTTGGCAGCATCCATTTATTTTTAAATCAATCCCAAGTATAAATCAAGTTCAGATAAATGCCAAAATGCTGAATTGTTTTTGTTTGAAGTGCATAAACATGGACTATTGAAACCAGCTGACTGTCTTCAGATCTACAGCATGTTGATAAAAGTGTAGATGGTGGGTTGCTCATATAATTCAGTAAATCAGAATCCTATTGCAAACCCCCATAAATTATATGCACTAATCTTTTGACTGGATCGGAGATAAACTGGAAAAGCTAAATTATATTATTGGAATGACTCACTCATTCAAAAAAAAAAAAAAAAAAAGATAGTTTAGCACTAGATTTCAGGTACTTTATTTTTGCAAGTTATTAAAAGAAGAGGTTACCTGTAACTGTAGGTTCTTCAAGATGTCTGGTCCCTATTTGTATGCCAAATGTGGGTGCACAGGTGCTCCATGCACCGGAGCCAGAATTTTTTCAGCAGCAATGCCTGTTGACACACACGGCTGCCTTATGTCGCCATGTGCTCCAGGCGAGGTTATAAGAGGCCTTGTAGGGTGACGCACCCTCAGTCTCTCTCTTACCACAGAATAGAGAGTTTGCAGCAGAGAGGAAGGTGAGCAGGTATTGGAATATAAATAAAGACTACACATCTCAAAGAACCTCCAGTTACAGGTAAGTAACCTCCTCTTCTCCTTAGAGTGATGGTCCTTATATGTATTCCAAATGCGGTTGAGTATGGAACAGTGATCAGCTCAGAGGTGGGTGCAAGGACGTGATTGGTAAGGCCTGTTGCAGGACGGCACGGCCTATGGTGGCATCAGCAGCTGCCCACTGGTCTGTGGCATAGTACGCTGTGAAGGTGTGGACAGAGCACCATGTTGCCACATGGCAGATCTCATGCTAGGGTACGTCCACCAGGGAGGTGGAGGTGGTCACATGCAGGCCTCATTGCCACCTCTGTGGCCAGGGAGCAGGAGGACATGTCTGCTGCACCCACTGCGGCCTGGAGGCTGACTTGGCCTCAGGCAGCCCTCATCCAGCAAGGCCTGGAATCACTGGCCTTTGGTCTGTGTCATGTTCTCCAAGAACTCCACTAGCTTAGTATAATTGTTGAAAGCGTACTTCGCTAGCAGAGCTTGATAGTCAGAAATGTGGAATTGAAGGGCCACGGAGTAGTGTTTGCATGCCAGGAGGTCCAGGTATTTCACCACGTTATCTGGGTGCGTGTGTAAGAGTTGGAGTGCTAGTGTGCCCGTTCCATGGCCACGTGCATGACCAGCGAGGCCAGAGGGAGGTGGGAAAATATCTTCCACCCCTCTTAGCCAGTACGAAGCACCTGCCTTCCACCCTCTTGGGTGTGCAGGTGCAGGATACCGGCATGTGCCACACTGCTCCTGCAGGTTGTAGAACAGTATTGTGAATGGGCAGAGCTACGTGTGTCAGGCCATGGGGCTGAAGAATGTTTAACAACTGGTCCTGTTGGTCTTGGACCTCTTCTAGAGGGATGCCCAAGTCAAAGGCCATGCTCTGTACCAGCTCCTGGTACTGGTGGGGATTGTCAGGAGGCAAGAGGGTCGGAGAGATCAGGGCCTCATCTGGAGAGAAGAGGCTGCTGTCCGGGCTGGCGGTACCGGATCAAACATTGGGTCCTCTTTCGGGTCTGAGACCATTGGAGCCGGCGGAGGGGCTGAGGTGGTTCTGGTATGAGGCCACCGATGGTGGGTCCAAGCAGTGATGGAGTCCCACATGGGCCAGTGATGCCATGAGGCCAGATCTTAATAGTACTGCGGGTCCCATGGATACGAGTACCACACAGGTGAGCCCGGAGCATAGGGAGCCGGAAAAGGCATGTGAGCCTGAGAGTCCGCATTACACCGAGAGACTGGGAAGAAGGATGTCTCTTCTGCTGAGAAGCCCTCCAAGTCTGAAGAAGGCTCCAGCAGTGGTGGAGCCATCAGTGCGGGTGGTACCGCGATCGCCGGGAGTGGGTCGCAGCTGAGGAGGAGTGACTCAGCCGCTGGTGAAGGTGGCCAGGAGGCAGAAAAAAGCAGCGAGGGCGGGTACGACAGCTTGAGATGGGACAAGGAGACCAGCGGATCCATCTGGCCTGGTGTTGAGAACACATCCTATCCTCTGCCACTCTGAGGCGGGGTATGCAGAGCACAGCCTGGAGAGTGCTGCCATGGCTGAGTAGTGCACACGGGCAGGCTGTTGAGACCCTTGGTCCTCACAGGAGCTGGTGGGTCTCGCTTCTGCTTTTCCTTGCCCCCTGGCTTAGGGGGTGGCAGTGCAGGTCACCATCCGACCAAACCCATCTTGGGGAGGAAACACAGTGTGGCTCAGTGGTCTGCAATGGGGACCTGCTGCAGTGTTCTGAGAGCGCTTGTGACTGTCCTTATGTGCCTTCTTGTGTTTCAGTGGTGCTGATGGGTCCAGGTGTGAAGCCGAGGCCAGGGCGCTTACCGCCAGTCATGGGCAGTGCACCACCAGCACGAATGTTCTGGGATCAAACTCTGCACGAGGCTGGAGCGCTTCCACTATGAAGAACTTACAGAGGCGCTGAAGACAAGCGTTGCGAGTCCTTGATGGGAAGGACTTGCAGATATCACTGTATGTGACAGTGTGTCTTACCCAGGCATTAGAAACAGCGCATGTGCTTGTTGCTCACAGAGAACGAGTGAGGGCACGAGGTGCAGTTCTTGAACCCCAGAACGTGGGGCATATTCCCCCAAATGGGTCAGGATAGGCCCTGTGAGGGGCTACTATATAAACTAACGTATTTACAGAAGTATGGGAAGAAAGAATCAGAACTCACTAACTATCTACAATGGACCATCATTCTCATAGAGTGCACGAGCACGAAGAGAGGATTCTGATTCCAACCATGTGGTGAGAGGGAACCGAGGGCGTGTCGCCCCACACAAACCCCTATAACCTCACATGGAGCACATAACAACATAAGGTGGCCGTGCGGGTCAATGGACACTGCTTCTCTAAAACTTCTGGCTCTGGTGCATGGCATGCATGTGCACCTGCATTTGTCATACATATAGGGGACTATTACTCGAAGAAGAACAGTTATTACTCTTCTAGCTGGTAAGTTATGCAGTTCTGCTCCTCTCTGTCCTCTTCATCCATCTTTTATTGTGTCCTCTCTACCACTGCCATGTGAAGGGCACGTAAAATTAAAGGTAGTTCCCATTCTGATGCTGCCATATGAACAGGTCATTGTAGAAAGTGAACCTATCATTTGGCCCCCCCCACACATATATATGCACGCATGCGCGCACACACGCACACATGATCCTCACTAGAACGCGGGATTCGGGATCCATGCGCGATACCGTGTTAAGGCGGGGACTGCGTTAAAATGAATTGCAATTAAAGTAATTAAATTTGGGATCCATGGCCGCGACCGCGTTATATGCGAATTTGCGCTATATAGAAGCGTGTTCTAGTGAGGGTCCGGTGTACATGTGCGCGCGTGCACACACATGCATGCACATATACACACACACACAAACATGCTCTTCTTCATTTAGGGGGAAAAGGTGATCTAATCAACTGAGTATGGGATTGGGAGTTAGGAAATCTGGGTTTTATTCCCAAATCCTCTCACTAATTATTGGACTTGGATCAATCTCTCAACTTTTATGGTTCACTTCCCACCCCCATCTACAAAATGGAGATAATACTTCCACACCTGTGTAATTCTGAGATTGACAAATGGAAATCACAGTATAAACTGTGAAGTTCTTCATCTTTGCTCCTTCCCCTTTTCATTTCTTCATAATGTAGTCCTGTTGGTTAAAATGCCATAAAAGTCTAATCAATTTGTATTAAAAATGAAATATTTCATTTCAATTTTATGGATGGTTGGGGAGAATTATATAAATATCTAAGCAATAAATATGTGGGAGGCAGTTATATGTTCCTGATCCCCAGGATATCTAAGTACCTAGACAGAGCTACAAAAAAATCTTATTTGTGAGACACCTCACTTGTCCAGGCTGGATCAAGGCAGTAGAAGGAGTACACAGCACATGGATACATTCTCTCTCCAATTCTCAGTTAGTATGATTCTACTGAAATGGCAGTATTCTATGTTCAAGTATGCAAAATAGAAAACCTGTCTTCAGTGATCCTGCCAGAGAGGGTACATTTGCAAGGTTCAGAGTATATAGCCAATTTTCTGCCTATAGGAGAGTAATGGTTTGTTTCAGAAACTATTCTGAATTTTTCAGGTAAAAATGAAGGTCTTTGAAATCCTGGACTGACTTTAGCCCTTCTGTCTTTTTAGTTATCAAGAAGTGACTGGAGTACTATCAGAAGCTCAGTGGTATTTTTTGTTATGAGAGAATGTATTTCCTGCAGCATCTCATACTATTCAACTTGAACAAGTTCTTGAAGGGGTGTAATTCTATGAAAGAAATTTGTATGATGAAACTATGGCATTTTATAGGGTGTAAATCAGGGTAGAATTTGGCCCCAAGTCTGCCAGTGTCCTGAATATAAACTAGCTGTGATCTCCTTTCCTGGCACCAAACGGTAATAGGCTGGTTTTCATGTGTTAACATTGTTATGTATCAGTGGGATTGGGGCCCTAATTATTTGAAAGATCTTTTTTGAATTTTATAGCTAAAATGTACAAATAAAAATCATCATTAACTCTCTTTCCTCTCCTAAAATATTTTTTTAGCCCCTGCTCCTAAGTCTTCTCATGAAGTGCTGAAAGAGGCAGACACAGATGTACAAGTTCTTCCTAACTACTCCACACCTCAGAAATCAGATTCCTATTTTAATCCCAAAATGAAACTCAACAGGTGAGGGGGGTAATGGGGAGAGGTTGCAAAGAAAATGCTCTCACTTAAAAGAATTATCCCAGTAAACAGCCCACTATGATGTCTAGAGGAATAACATTTTTCAAGCAGTAAAAATAAGATGCCCAATATAGGAAGGCTCCATTTTGATGCTTTTCTAATTTTGCTCACTGAACTATCTTCCTTATATACTGCTGGGAAGACTTTTCTAAAACAACAGAAATAGTCTTCAGAACAAAATGTGTTCCAGTTTCTAAGGAAATAAAGATGCTAGCTTATGCAGCAGCGTGGGAGTTTGAGGGGAAAAACCAATATAAACCACACCTGAGGACTCAAAAAACCTATTCAGTGAAATGTTTTCCTTTGAGTTTTTGTGACTAGACACCACTTAAGTGCTCTCCTCCAGCACAGCTAAGGCATGAGCATACTACGTACATATCTCATATCCTAGGACTCCTTTTTATAGGTCCCACTTTATTGGAGTAGATTCTTTCCTCTAGCTCAGGGGTGGGCAAACTTTTTGGCCTGAGGGCCACATCAGGGTTCTAAAACTGTATGGAGGGCCGGGTAGGGAAGGCTGTGCCTCCCCTAACCCTATCCACCCCCTCCCACTTCCCGCCCCCTACTTTACCCTTCAGAACCCCCGACCCATCCAACCTCCCCTACTCCTTGTCCCCCGACTGCCCCCTCCTGGGGCCCCCCTACCCCTAACCGCCCCCCCGGGATCCCATCCCCTATCCAACCCCCCCTCCCCCCTGACTTCCCCACCCCCTGTCCACACCCCTGTCCCCTGACAGGCCCCTGGGACCCCCCCATCCAACCCCCTCCCCCCAAGCCCCTTTCAAAATGTGACCCTGCGAACACAGGCAGAGGACATGGGAGGAGCAGGGGCAGCGGCGCAGCCAGAGAGAAGCAGCTGGTTTCCCCTTCAAAGCGCCGCTTCTCTCCAGTCGGCTGCGCGGCTACCCAGTGCTCCTCCTGAGTCCTCCACCCGCGTTCGCCGCACTCCCACAACCCGCACCGCCCACCTGCTCCCCTGAGACTGTAGATGAGCCTCCCTTCCTGCTCTCCCCTGTCCTCGCTGTGCAGCCTCCCGCACTGGTGGCGGAGTGCACTGAGGCTGCGGGGGAGGGAGTATAGCAGGAGAGGCTGGGGGCTAGCCTCCCCGGCCGGGAGCTCAAGAGCCGGGCAGGACGGTCCTGCGGGCTGGAAGTGGCCCACAGGCTGTAGTTTGCCCACCTCTGCTCTAGCTCCTCTTCACATCACTCGTTTTAATGTCAGTAGAGTGGGTAGTCATTTCGTCCTCAGAAAAATCATAACCTCACCCTATTGCTGCAATACCAAAGCCTGTTCCCTGAAACACTGAAGTTCAACTACCCTTCAGTCATTATCAGGGTCCTTCTCCAGAAGGAACACTGCCAAAGATAATTTTGAATCTGTCTGGGGAAATTTCTCAGGTCAGTCTAGGAAGACTGATGGTTATTTCCAGACAGCTGTTATTAGCAGTGAATGGTTTTAAAAAAAACAAACCCACCACCAGTAATCTCTCTGGTCTGTTCTTTCATAGAGCACATTAACTTCCTATAGAAAGCAGCATAAACCCCAAACAAACAGCATATTCTCTTGAACCCCAGTCAGTGGTGTCTAACCAGCAAGTGGAATCTCAAGTTCTTATCTTTCATACTACTTTTTTGCCACACTGTGAAGGATTCCATTCCACTACAAACTCTTAGGCCAGGTATAAACTACAAATTTATATTGGTATAACTACGTCACTTAGGGGTGTGAAAAATGCACACCCTTGAGTGACAGTTATACCGACCTAACCCCCAATTTAGACACCGCTGTGTCGATGGGACAACTTCTCACATTAACATAGTTAATCCACCACCCTGAGAGGCAATAGCTATGCTGACGGGAGACGCTGTCTTGTTGGCATAGTAGTATCTTCACTAAAGCACTGCAGCGGTACAAGAATACAAGCCCTTAGGCCAGCAGTTGATACTTTAAATGCCCAAACAATTAGGCTGCATACCAAATTTGCCTGCTACATGGACTCACTAATCATAGTAAGAAACCATGATATAGTGGTGTTTTATATCTCAGTGCTCCATGGATAAGTGTTAAAGTCAGCACTCCTAGAAAGTTATCATTGGAATTAATTTAAGAATATTTGAGTACTCTGAGACCTACAAATGCTGTTAAGGTAGTAAAAGCTTTAGAAAACCTTCTGGTGGCTGTTAAGCCCAGTTATTGCAAAACCTGTTGCTGGAACAAATTACCCTAAGCCCTGGTCTACCGTGCGGGGGGGAGGAAATCGATCTAAGTTCCGCAACTTCAGCTATGTGAATAATGTAGCTGAAGTCGATGTATTTAGACCTACTCACCGCGGTGTCTTCGCTATGGTGAGTCGACTGCTGCCACTCCCCCGTTGACTCTGCCTGCGCCTCTCACGGTGGTGGAGTACAGGAGTCGACGGGAGAGCGCTCGGGGATCGATTTATCCCATCTAGACTCGACACAGTAAATCGACCCCCGCTGGATTGATCGCTGCCCGCCTATCCGGCGGGTAGTGTAGCCATACCCTAAGATGGAAGAAACAAAAATATGTGAAATACATACTCTAAACTTTATTATACACCTTTTTATCTTCTAGGCAACTGATATTCTGTGCATTAGCTGTTTTGGCTGAAGAACGGAACCCCTTAGAATGTTTGGATGCATTTGGGGCCACCGGTAAATAAACAAACTTTTGGAATCTCATTTTACTTCCTTTAAATCTCGAATTTTATTTTACAATTTGTAGCAAGTCCCTCTCATGAGAAATAGACATTGTATATTTAAGTATTATGTGGTCGTTGCTTAGGCAGACTCCTTTTGACTTCCTTGTGTGTTTCCCCCAGTTCAGGATTTGGCTCTAGATGTGTAAAAGGACCATAAATATCTTTGAGATGAAGTTACTGATGCTCAAAAGGAAGATTTTTTACATTTTAAAGTGCATGAAGTACCGTGCATCTTAACTTGATGAGTTATGTCCAAGGTCCCATGTATTCTGATTCGATAGCTGTGGAGTTTGGCTTCAGAATCAACCCCTAGTCGTAGAACAGTGCCACTGAATCCAAACTTTCATTTAAAAAATTGTTTCCAATCTCTATATTTATAAAGAAGAATCCTGACCATGAAATTAATGTAAACCAATGTGGTGGTGTCTTCCTGAATCTGTAGACAGTGAAACAATAGATTGGAAAGGTGTGAACTGTCCCCATGATCTCAATCAGGTGTTAATTCTAAAACCTGAAGACAAAAATTTAAATGCAACATTTATGCTAAAAATGCTCAGCAGTTCATGTCCTGCTAATGTGTTTATTGCACAATTCCAAGCCACACCAAAAGTCTTAACTGCCTCCTATCCAGCTATCAAAACCTCCTGTTTTCCCCCCACAACAATTTTTACAATACAGTCACCTATTGTTGTTACAAATATCTGCAACACATCAAAAATTTAAAATTTAGGGGCAGCATAAAAACAATTTAATATCAGACTAACAAGGACTGCTGTATTAGTTAAAATGTTAATTTTCCTGTTTCATTCAGTTAAATTAAACTGAGTGTTTTTTTTAAATCTTGCTCTGCCACAGAAGTTCCAGTCTGCTGCATTAGAGTGTTGCACAAGCCCAGGGGACTTGCTACAGATTTGAGGTCCAATTTGTTTCACAGTACATAGAGCATTTTTATATCTATGGCACTTACCTTGTAATGAGAATTGGGTAGGCAAACCCTTGTACCCATATAGACTTCAGTGAGTCTTCACACAAATGCTGGAGTTTGTCAACAGAGTTCTTGCACGATGAAAGCCTGTGTATGGATCACATTTCTGTATTATGCACATTTAGGGTTTGATTGTGTTTTTATTGAAGTTAAGGGGATCAAGAACCAGGCCTTTATTCTATTGCATGCAACCAACCATAAAATTATGCGCTTGCCTTTCTCCTCAGGTATAATGGGATTACAGTGGGCAAAGCACCTTGGAAATTCTGTGAAGGTTACGATTAATGATTTCAATGAAAATTCCGTGACAATGATTCAGGAAAACTGCCATTTAAACAAGATGAAGGTGATGATGAATACTAAGGAAGAGGACGACTGTGATGAAACTATGGAAGAAGGAGAGGAAAATGTAGGCATTATTGAAGTGACAAAAATGGATGCTAATGTCATAATGCACTTGAGATCCTTCGATTTTATGTAAGTGAAGAGTGTTTGCTAATACAAGTTTGTCTTTACTCGATGCTTTGATCTTGACTGTAATTTAATTTTTGCCCCAGTGGTTATTTAGAGAAGTCTGAATGGATGAGACAACAAACAGCGGCTGGTTATTTGCTTATTAAAAGTTTAATTGTAGCAACTGAAGTGCTACGTAAATAGAGACAATTTTAAATCTTTTAAAAAATAATCACTGGGAAAACATTTAAGTCCTTCTGGCATCCAAAGTGGAAAATAAGTACCCAGGTAATGTGTGTTGGGTGCTGTGTTCTCGGTGGTCAGGCGTGGTGGTTGGAGCCATGGTTGAGAACAGGTACCAAGGTCGAAGTCAGCCATAGAGTCAGGACCAGGATAGCGCTGAAATCAGGGTCCAGGGATAGGCTGTGGGTCAGAACTGATGTCAGAGTCTATAGACAAGCCAAATCAGGATCATAGTTGGAGTCTGGATGCAGGCCAAAGGTTGAAGCTGGATTGGAGTTAGTCCAAGGGTCAGGAGGCAAGGGCAGGGCTAGAGCAAGGACAGAGTAAGGAATGGGCAAGGCTGAAGTGGGCTGGAACAAGGCTGGGGCAGGAACAGGAACTGGATCAAGAGAAGGCTGGAAGCCTAATGACACTAACACTGCAAGGCAGCAGGAGGATTCCTGGCTGAGTAGTGCTGTTGTACAGACTAACTTGCTGCTCAGGCAGGATCAGTGAAATACCTGTGCCTGGGGGTCACCTGACCCAGGCTCTGCCCAGGAATAGGCTGCTGCAGCATGCGTTAGTGCTGAGGCTTTGCTTATGGGATGAATCCCTGCAACTGAGTTGCTGCAGCATGCCTGAATGATGAGCAGGGATCCTAGTTTTCCATAATAAAAAACCCTCAAAATTCTCCAATAAAAAAACCCCCATAAAAATGAGTGTTTTTCCCATGATTATAATGAAATGCTGAACTTTAGTTTCCCTAATCACAATAGGAAGCACAGCCACCGGGGGCTGACAACCCAAGCCTCTCCATCCAGGGCTCTGGCTTTAAGTTCTGGTTCGGTTAATACAGAGAGCTGGATAATGGAGGCTCAGATAACATGTACCGTAGAACCCAGTTTTTCATTTTTTACAAAATGTAAAAACTAAAGACTATAAAAACACAAATTCTGGATTTTTCCATGGCAAAGGGATTTCTAGGATCCGTGGTGATGAGTCACTGCAGGCTCTGCTGGAGGGGGAAGTCACAGCAGCTGAGTGAGCAGCTCTGGTTTGGCTGCAGGTTTGCCTCACAATGTGTATGAACATTTTAGGCCAGACTTGTGGATTTTTGGTATAACTTTGTCTGTTTGGGGAAAAATGAAATATAAGAATATTTTTTCTGTAATTTTAGCTAATTTGAAATTCATATCTGTGCATGTAGTTTTTAATAAGGCCGCATGTTTATGGATCACTTATTGTAATCCATTCTTAAATAGCATAGCTGATTTAATTAGAATCTGTGACCAAAATATTCAAATGTTAGTGCCCAAATGCAGGCACTAAATCCATACATAGATATCAAAATAAGTGGTCTGATTCTTAGAGTTGCTGAACATCCACAAACCAGTTGAATTCTGTGGGAGTTAGTTTATTTGTATATTCTCCCGTCTTTCAGAATAAACACCGGTATCTTGGCCAGCATTCTTCTTAGTTCAATTATCCAGTGTACTAGAATGTGAGAGAGATTGTGCTGGATGTGTGATGACTGTTGCATTACTCAATATGTACTGCCTGCCCCCTCTAAATTTGTTGCTTTGTAAATTATTTGGGCATGTTGGAGGTATGGAAGGTGTGTTGTAAAATCAAATTCTATTTTTATTTTACTTCAGATGTTATGGGTGAGGATTTTTTTAAACCGTTTTTTTCTCTGATAGCTTGAAAGCTAAGTAGTTATGTACCAGAGATGCTTCTCAGTGTATATTTTGTTTTTAGACACCTGGACCCATTTGGAACAGCTGTGAACTACCTGGATTCTGCATTCAGAAATGTAAGAAATCTTGGAATAGTATCAGTGACATCCACAGACATCTGTTCTCTGTATGCAAAAGCTCAGCATGTGGCCCAGCGTCACTACGGCTGTAACGTTGTCAGAACGGAGTACTTCAAGGAACTGGCAGCTAGAATAGTAGTTGCTGCTGTGGCAAGGTACTATTAAAACATAGAAATCGTGGTCAGCTCTTAAGCTCTGGTAGAAGAGGATTGCTAATGCATGCTTTTGGTGATTGCTAAAGCAAGTTGTGTCTTTGCTTTTCAGAATTCCTTAAGCTCTACAAATTAGGCATTGAAATATCAGTTTTGTACTTGATTTCAAGTTCACTACTATAGAACAATTTAAGTATTTTAAACTGAAGTGACTGGCAAGATGGCAAATGGGTACGGAGTGTATTATTAATCTTCAGAAAGAAAAGGTAATCTAATGCAAACTTGAATATCTGAAGATTTTAAGTTCCTTTTTCATTTAGTGGTGATTTAATGCTGCCTAAGCCTTTATAAATACTTCAGAAGCTATTAAAGCAATTAATTATCTGTGGGAAAGAGCATTAAATTAGATTTGTTTAAATGGAAATAAACTCATTAGTGTCAACTTTCACAGTATATTTCATAACTAGCAAACAGATATTCACTCCAAAATCTAGGCCCCCTATCCTCAAGTGTTTACAAACAATAAACACAGTGTGGCTAAATTTTTCACAGGTTAAATATTATGGTTAAGGAAAAAAAATGATCTGGTGCTGTAAATCTACTACCTACAAGTAAATCTACTTACAAAGCAAATATGATATAGTGCCTGTCCTGCAAACCTTGTTCATAATATTAGTCCTTTCTCGTACAAATATTCCCAGTGACTTCATAAGTGTACTCAGAAGTGAAAGTTGGGGGTTTGGACACTAAATCAAGACATACAAACCCAGATCAAGATAATGGAACAATCAGTTCAGGGAAGAGCGAGTGGGAGATTAGGTGTGAAAGATCTTGAGACTATGTAAACGAATCCACTCACTGCGAGGTGCCCCGTTGTGGCCAGGAGTAGCATGGCAGCACACTCCAGCACTGTGGTGGTTTCTCTATCAGAAACTTGGCCTTCTTGCTGGGTCACTATCTTAAATACACCCTTTCTTGGGTCATATTCATCCAAACTAAGAGTCTTCAAAATATTTTTAACACAAACAAAAATTCTTCCCCCTCTGTAGAGTTCTTCCTCACCCTGTTTTCGACAGGACCTGTAGCCCCCTTGCTGGGCTCAATAACCGTTGTGGAAGGCTTTATATGCCCCTTTCTTTGGAGCCAGTAGGGGACCCAATCCCACCCTCTACTCTAGGTTCCGGTCCAGGGGTCTTGTACTGAACAGACAGGTCTGCTCCCTTACCTGAGCTACAGTTTTCCATGGGCCACTTCCTACATAGTCTCTTAAGTTCTCCTTTGGGTATGTCCATTTTGTCCCTGCATAAACAGGATCTTTCCCAGGCCTCTCTACAGGGAGAACTTTTCCAGACTCTTCCCTTTTTGGTCTGGGTCTCTCACGGGCCTTCATGCCTGTAGAACTTTTCCTTACTGTCTGAGCTTTCTGCCTGGTTCTTTCTCCAGCCCTTTCCCCAGCTGGGCTTTATCATCACTTAAGCCTCATTCCCCTCAAGTGGGACTCATTCGGTAATCAGACTGGTTTAGTCCTATGCTCTCCAACCCACAGAGCAAGCTACCCTGTTACAGACTCCATAGTCAATTATATTAAATTGGACCTGTTTAGATTGTCTTGTCCAGCTCCTTGCCCATGCTAGCTTATTCCCTATAGCATATTCTCCAGTGCTATATCCCATTTAACTTTTAACTGATTCTAGCACTAGGGGTTTCATCTGTCCCTGTAAAACCACACCGCAGGCTGAGACCTCATATTGGAATAACTTTTCCAGAGTGTCAAGCTAAATTTTCCTTGCTAATTTTCACCTTGCTTCTAATTACACCCCTCCAAAGTACCCTAAAGGATTCCTCTTTTCTTGGTAAAAAGAAAAGGAGTACTTGTGGCACCTTAGACTAACATTAGTCTCTGAGGTGCCACAAGTATTCTTTTTCTTTTTGCGAATACAGACTAACATGGCTGCTACTCTGAAACCTGTTTTTTCTTGGTGTATACCAGTTCAGATACTAGTAGCTAGTGATTTATCTCCCCTTAGTCTTCATTTAACTTAGATCTACTTATTTACTTTCTGTAATCTTTCCTTTGAAGTCTATCCCTCCAAGTCTTCTCGGCATCGAGGAACCCAAGTCATGGACCAGCACCCTATTGTGCTAGGCCAGGGGTGGGCAAACTTTTTCGCCCGAGGGCCACATCAGGGTTGTCAAATGGTATGGAGGGCTGGGTAGGGAAGGCTGTGCCTCCGCAAACAGCCTGGCCCCCGCCCCCTCCCACTTCCTGCCCCCTGACCGCCCCCCTCAGAACCCGACCCATCCAACCCCCCCGTTCCTTGTCCCCTGACTGCCCCCTCTTGGGACCCCCCACTCCTATCTAACCCCCCACTCCTATCCAACCCCCCCACTCCCCATCCCCTGACTGCCCCAACCCCTATCCACACCCCTGCCCCCTGACACGCCCCCTCCGGGACTCCCGACCTATCCAACCCCCCTCCTCCCACTCCTTGTCCCCTGAACGTCCCCTCCCAGGACCCCATGCCCTATCCAACCCCCCCTGCTCCCCGTTTCCTAACCGCCTCCCCCATCCCCCCAAACCTCCATCCCATACAACGGCTCCCTGTCCCCTGACTGCCCCCTGGGACCTCCTGCCCCTTATCCAACCCCCGCCGCCCCCTCACCATGCTGTTCAGAGCGGCAGGACAGGCTCATTGGAAAGCCAGGGAGGTGGGTGGGTACAAGCCGCACTGCCAGCGTGGGGGAGCAGGAACAGCAGGGGAGGGGCCGGGGGGCTAACCTCCCAGCCGGGAGGTGCTGAGCAGGACAGTCCCGCGGGACATAATTTGCCCACCTCTGTGCTAGGCTCTATACAAACACAGAACAAAAAGATGACCCCTGCCCTTCAGAGCCAACAGTCTAAGTGGAGGCTGTTTATAGATAGTGTAGGATTTTTCCAAACAATGGATGATCATAAATATATATATTGCACATGGTGGAACAGCTGGGAAAATTAGTCTTTGTTGAATTCCTATGGTAATATGCTATCTTTTTGCTTTGGTAGAGCTGCAGCTCGATGTAACAAAGGCATTGAAGTTTTGCTTGCAGTAGCTCTAGAACACTTTGTCCTAGTAGTGGTGAGAGTTTTGAGGGGACCATCTCCTGCAGATGATTCAGTCAAGAAAATTCGGTATCTTATCCACTGCCAGTGGTGTGAGGAGAGGATTTTTCAGGAGGGTAATATGGTAGAAGGTAAATGGATTTTCCTTGGGTTTCTTTTAAAGGTATAATCCCTGCATGTTTATTGTATGTACCTATGTTAGGCACGTAGTAAATTCCAACATGTAAAAATACTTGCTTTCACTAGAAATATTTCTTATAAAGCATTGTGATAATGGTCATACACATAAAGGGGAGGGTATTTTGATTATAATCCTTTAGGGTTCTTTGAGTAACTGTTATATGAATCCCACTGTAGGTGTGGGTGCACAAGCTTGGAATCTTTTGACGAGCAGTATCCATTAAGGCTACCCATGGCACCCTGCATGCCCTCACCCCACAGCACCAGGGGCTTAGAGTAGAGCAGCTTCAACTGCCCCTCATTTCCCTCTTCCCACTTGTGGCAGCGGGATGAAGCAACACTGTGTCTAACTGCTTCCCTGCAGCATTCTTGTTGTAATTAGTTTCTTATATTCTTGTTCTTAAATTTCATTTGGCCTGTTTGCACAGAAAAATAAAAATTCTTCAGTCTCCTCTAGGCCAAGGTATCTCTAATGGCTGAGCCTAGGTCTCCAGGTTTCAAAACCTACCCTGCCTGTGCCTCTGAATGATTGGCACAATAAATGTATCTTTTGTCTAGGGGAGACTCATATCACTGACCATTTACTATTTGTAAACCTTTCTCCAAGTGCACACACAAAGCTGCAAAACTTGTTTGAAGCTGGTTTTGATGGAGAAACCTACGAAGAACATATTGGATTCTGAGATTCCATTGGAAATAGTCCAGGAACATCCCTGTTATTCAATATTCTTCATCTGTTCCCTCAGGGCCATTTAGCAATGCCCATTAATAAGGGTATTCTTGCACTGATCAAGGACCTCTGGTAGACCCCAGCCTCCATTTCAGCCTCATCGAGGAAGTCATTTTGCCCCTAAGGGGTTCAAGTAATGTTTCCATTCATCCTGCTCTGGGATCACTGGTAGTGGCAGTGGCTCATGAAAAATCTAAACAGCATCTTATTGTGAAATCCACCCCTGGTATAAGGAATCAAAACTCTCTTTCGGGAGAAAAATATACTCAGCTAGCCTACAGTTCTGTATAGTCAGTTACCAGGCTCTGTTGGCAGAATATGATACAGTTGGATACAACCTTTCAGTCTGCCAAGAAGTTACCCCTGGACTCCGGAGATGAGTTCAGGGCTGTGATTACAGTAAGTCAACCTAAGATGGCCATTATGTTTTTAACTCAACAATGAACAAGAAATTATCCTTTCTGAATGATTTCAAGTTGATCCTTAGAGCTTTATACCACAGCTCTGAGCAAGAAATAAGGAAGGATTCTACCTTTCTCAAGCCAGAGACCTCCCTTGTCTTACTCGTACCACCAGATGGCTCCAGCCTCTTCTAAGAGACTGTTTCCAGAAGCAGAGATGCCCTACCACTACTGAAAGCACACATTTTTCTTCTGGTCAAGGAGGGAAGGATTCATGCTGCTGTCAAGAGTCTTGGACTGATTTTCAAGGATCTGTACCTCTTCTCCCCTTCTTTGGCAATAGCCTACCCCATCCCGCCTCATGACAATCTGCTGGTTTTTTGCTCCTAGGGAAGATGCATTGCTGATCAGAAAGGGATCCTTTCACCCCTATCCTGTTATTTCCCAGAGTTCTCAGGAAGATGCCAAAGGACAAGGTCCAGCTGATAATGGCCTGGGGATATCAGTTCTGGTACTCCAACTTCTGATGCACTTATCCCTCCATACCCTTCTACCACTTCCAAGCCATCTTGATGTCATTTCACAGGACCGGGGGCTTGGATCTAGTGTCTCTGCCTCTGACAGCATGGAGATTAGCTGACTAAACTGGAGAAAGGAGCACAAGACATTCTAATCCAGAGCACAAAGGCTTCCACAGGACTGATTTACACAACCTCAGTGAAAGCGTTTTTCATTATAGTCCATTCAGAGGTACTTTGAACCCTTGGAGTTTTCTATTCCTACTATCTGCTGTCTTTTGAAACAATTGGGGCTATCCATCAGAGTACATTTAGCAGTTGTCTTTGCATATCATCCACCTGTTCAAAGCCATTTGTTTTTTTCCCACCCTACTGTTTCAAAGTATCTAAAACGACTATTAATTCATATGTTCCCTCTAGTCAAGGAGCCTTTTTCTACATGGAACATGAATATGGTACTTTGGTCATTTAGACCTGTCATGATTTAGACAAAAGTCAAAATGTGCATTTGTCTTAAAACTTTCTGGAAAATTACTCTGTTGGAATTTCTCATACTGCTTCTCTACCGCACTGGTGGTGGTTGGTTGTTTCGTTGGAGGGGTAAGGTTACGAAAAAAGGGTGTTAACAAAAAATCTGCCATGTTTTTGAGATGTAAAAAAAATATTCACTGAGTATTTTCCCAAAGATCTTTACTACTCAAACTTCAGATAAATCAAATATTTAGTTCTTAATGAAGACACATGCCTTTTGCATATCTGAAATATTTTTAGGAACAGTTTGGTATATACAGATAGTGCACACAAGATTATTCTGCAGTTTGAGAATGTATTGAGTTGTGAAGCTCCAGAGTACATCCAGTGAGTGAGCTGTAGCTCACGAAAGCTTATGCTCAAATAAATTGGTTAGTCTCTAAGGTGCCACAAGTACTCCTTTTCTTTTTGCGAATACAGACTAACACGGCTGTTACTCTGAAACCAGTTGTTTAGCTGTATCTTATTTGAATGTCTAATCCTATCTTATTTCTCATTGTACTTTAAGGGCCCGATGTCTTGGGCTGTTAAGGTATTAACACTTCCTTAAGACAATGATGCATTTTTTGGCTATGTGAGCATTAGACTGCAATAAGTATCACATTTTCTTTCATTCTTAAGAACAGAAATAAAATTGTCACCTGTATAGGTGCAATGTTATAGCTGAGATTTTAAATGGACAAATTAACAGCATTCAGAGTCCTTCAACCTAGTACATATGCACAAGGGAGCTGAGCTATGGCTGTCATGAAAATGCTATGAGTCAACTGAATTCTGTGCACATAGGCAACCATAATTTTAACAATTTTTTGCATGATACAATTTTTCTTGAAAAGCTTTTTTAGTTTAAACTTGTTTTTGCAGTGGAAAGTTCTAACCCACTAGCTAGAAGCAGTTATTTAAAACACATACCAAGTAATATGGAGCTCTGGGTTTGTTTTATTTTAATTTAAAAATAACTAAAGTTACAATGCCCCTCATTAGATTCCAGCGGACACCAGTTAGTAACTTGTAACAACATTAATAAAAGTTGGTGTCTCAGGCATTTTTACAGTTGTTTGTGTATGTTGGGTTCTGATGTTGCTCATCCTATTAAATGCCTCTACTTAGGCAGAATCACTTCTTGGTGGGTTCAACATTTCTAGTATCTAAAACATCTTTCATTTTGTTTGTATTTTGAAATAACTTAATCTATAGAACTCACTTTAATTCTGTTTTCTGTAACAGAAAACCCTTACCGGCAACTATCTTGTGACTGCCATGGCAGTATGCCTGGGAAGACAGCAGTAGAGCTTGGTCCTCTGTGGTAGGTACAGCACACAGCCTAACAAAAGTGAAAGCTTGTTCATAAAGCAGTAAGTTTATAGCTAGCAACTGAGATGGCCTTGGCAGCTGGTTATTTAATTGGAGAGCTGAGTAATAAAAAAAATGAGTTTCCCTAGTCATATTGGGGTAGACAGCAAGCAGTGAGTTTACTAAATAAACAATAGTGAACTAGTTTTCAGTTTCACATCCTGGACATATTAAAACAATTACACTGCACAGGAGAATCTGGCTGAGTAGCTTGATGTTTTGCGACCAGAGAACTAGTATACATTGAACTGTAATTGATAACTAACTTGGTGTGCCTTTACATAATATCAAATACCTATGCACTTCCAGTAGTATAAAATAACTTGAACTGTTAAATGGTAAACAGCAATGGTGTTTATCCTTGGTTTTTTGGATTGAAAGAATAGTTAAATTTAAATGTGAGCATTTCAGAACTAGATTATAGAAACAGAACTAATCCTTTGCACTAGCCCTGCTTTTACTGTTTCTAAATACTATTAGTACACCACCCTAATTTTGACAGTGCATCCCTGTGATATGGGTATCATTCCCATTTTACACGTGGGGAAATGAGATGAAGTGACTTTGCCCCAGTTGACACAGTAAGTCAGTGGCAGAACTGGGCTTAACACTCATAAGATCTTAGCTTTCAAGCCATGACTCTGAACTGCCACTACCTAAAACAAAAATAATTTTAATAGTATCACAAACTATGTACCCTGTTAATATAAGTATAGTTCAGCAGCTACTCAGTTTGTGGAAACCACTTTTAAAGGAGCAAAGGCCTTTTGCTATAAATCAAAATACTTTGTCATACACCAGTCTCCTTATTTTCACTGGCATTCTATTGCACTGTCCAGGTCAGGGTCCCTCTTTAACACTGGATTCCTCAGAAGAATGCTGTTTGAAGCTGTTCAGCACGGCTTAGATGAGATTCAGCCACTTGTAAAGACATTAATTTGTGAAGCAGAATGTACAACTCTAAAACAGTTTTCAATCCATGGTCCTGCCAGCCAGAACAAACAAGGTGAGATAAAATGGCAAGTTGCTTACAAAAACTCATGGGATTTTTAAATGTCTAAAACCAATTGAAAATTTCTTGAGCAAAAGTAACTATAGCGGTGCATGTTAAAAGAAGATTAGGAACATGTTCCCTATCACAAAGCATGGGACAACAGTCTTGCCATATTATGGGGCTTTTGTCATACTCTTTAAACCTCTGCTGTTAAGGCTTGCTCGACACAGGGTGCTAGACTTGAACCAGTATGGAAAAATCCTACATTAAGTAAACCAGTGCTGACACAAGGTGCCACGCTGACAGTCCTGTAGTCCAATTTATTCGCAAAACAGGCAGTAGTAGCAGAAGCTTCCCATATACTAGCCTTCGTACTGCAGCCCTGAGGGGGAAGTTCCTCCCCTTTGAGTGAAATGGGACTCTGCCCTTCATGCTCAGTCAATCCTGGACTTCTCTACAGGGACTGCCAATTGCGGGGGGTGATTGAGATGGCTGTCTACAGTGGGATACTATTCTAATAAGAACAGACTAGAGGCTACCAGTTCACTTCAGATAAATCACCATATAGTAATTTTACTTGAATATTGTCCTGTGCCAGATTCAAACTGATAATGTTTAGTGAAAGTTTCCATAACCTATTACCTATCCTTTTGCCTCTATCATTTTTACACCTTTTACTTTGTCTAGAAAGTTTGGGATTTTGCCCTTTCAAATTTTTGTGGATCCCTTTATAAGGTAGCAAAATAAAATCTATTTAAAATGTTTTGTCACACTTCAGATTTAATTTTGACTTCTGTATTCTAGAAGAATGTGGCGTCTTTATTAAAACACCAGATACTGCAGCTGACTACTATGTGGTACAAGGTATGTGGTTCATCCATCACAACTGCATGTACACCCCTTGTGGTTTGTGCTAGCAGATAACCACAATCAATGAAGGAGGGATGGGGTGTTAAAGGTGGGGATAGAATGGTTTTTGTAACCTTGGCTTGTGATGGCCCCAACTTTTAAAGGTTTTTTTTTTTTAAATGAATATGCTCAGTGGTTCACCTCCAGTAAAGATTAATGAAACTTTAAAAATATTATATCTTTACCCAAACTAGTATTTGCTGGGAAAGACAAGGAGCCATTATTGCATGAAGTGCACTATGTACTTTTGCAAGTCTAGTTTATCTGTGCAGCCCTTGGCTCCTATGGAAGAAAGTTACAGAAAACTTTAAAATTATCTATTAAACTAGACTAGATTTTAGATCCCCTTCAGCTTTTAAGGAATGAGAGGTTTTTTTCCCCCTAGAAGTGGTATAGTTGTAGCTTTAGTTCAATCAGTCTGAGCCAGGAATGCTACCTAAAGAAAAGCAAGAGAGGCCTAAGGTGAGTTCCCCACAGGGGACTTAAATGTTAAGCATTGCATTGCAACACTTATCATTTCAGTACTCTACTGCTTAGTGAAAGCCACAGCTCAGAGTTGGGCACCAGTGCTCCTTATACAATGCGGGGGAGAGTTAGGGATCCACAAAATCCAGCTCACAGAGCTGTCTAAGATAGCCACTACAAAATGCCAAGGAAAGGGGCGAGTCCTGAGCCCTGCTCCTCAGAGGGACTTACGTGCCTAACTCGGGGCTGGAGGGTAGCACCTCCCTCCACTCAGGATTCACAGCCGTGAACCCTCTCCTGAAGTTTGCGAGAAAGGGCTTATGCACCTTTCTCGTGCACAGACTGGGTGGCATCATCACTAAGTGCTACAATAGCTCTAGTCAAATGTGTATAATTTAGCCCTGTGCTAAGAGCACTCACCTACCATATTGGAGACCTAGTTTGATTGTCCCCTCCCACCGATGTCAAGAATAAACTTCAGCTCTGGTCTCCCCCTCCAAGGATAGTACCCTAACCACTGGGCTTTCTATTTCTCCTGTTGAAGCTGTTCCACTATATATAAATAAATATGTACTGGAGCATTCTGGAACATGGGTCTCCCGTGTACCTAGTGGATTACTCTGGCCCAATACATGTTAATTATATACAGTGGAACAGTTTCAACAGAAGAGAGATCTGCCTCAAAATACCCCCTGGCACGCTGGTTATGGTACTCTCCTGGGAGGCAGACCAGAGTTCAAATCTCTTCTTCATATCAGGGGGAAATTCTCCCACATCCCAGGCGAGGGCTCCAGCTATTGGGTTAAAGGTTATAAGTTGGCACCACCATCTTCGGTTTCTTTTGTGGGGCCTGATCCAGTAGGTGGCTTCTGAGAGCACCTGCCAGATAAGCAGGGGAATACTTAGTTAGAGGATCCCACTGGACTTAGACACCCAGCTGCCTGGACTGAAGCAACTGTGTGCATACTCAGTAGTTGATTTTTTAGGTGGCTACAGAGTTAGGCAGAGGTTGAGGAACTACATTTTGAATCTTGCCCCTAATGAGCATTTCTGTGTTTTAGGTAAAAGGAAAAGTAATGAAATGAGTAAAAACATAGCAAAAAGACAGAAGTCCGAAAGCAATGCTGAGCACCCTGCATTTTACTATAATATCCATAGACATAGTATCAAAGGAATGAACATGCCAAAGTAAGGATCACGTTCCAGTTTCTGATTTCCAACAAAATCTGTGTTGAAACCAACTAACCAGTAATAACTTTCTCTCTAATTTTTTCAGGTTAAACAAGTTCTTACAGTATCTGTCCCAAGCTGGGTATAGAGTAAGCCGAACCCATTTTGATCCCATGGGAGTTCGCACAAATGCACCCTTGGCACAGTTTAAATCTATCCTTGTGAAGTACAGCACACCCACGTACACTGGGGGGCAGGCAGAAGGCCCTGTCCAGTCCACTGAAGATGCCCAGGCAGGAGACAATGTCCAAGCTGCTGTAGATGACAAGTCAGGAGACATGGAGTTCACAGAAGATGGTAAATCAGGAAGTACTCTTTATGTTCACAAAAGACAGCTATCACGATAACTTTATTGCTGCTGAATGCAAATAATGTGTTAATTTGAGATTTGCAACTAAGCCCTACTCATGTAAACCAATCTACAGAACTGGTTTTGAAAGCTTGGGTTTCCAGTTATCTTAATGCGTGGGAGACATTTTAGAATTACACAGAAGAACTTGTAATTGATCACAATACATATGGTCAAGTTACAATTAGAGTGGAGAAAGAAACTGTAGAGGGTATTGACTTCTATGCTCGTCTTTCTTTTAAACACTGGCATTTTGTGACTACCCCCAGCTCTTCGAAAAGCCTTATTCAAACTCCTAGTGCAATTTCCAGTACAGCGGATAAGCGATGGGGCCAAAAGTCTTAAGCATTTCCTTAAGTGTTGCTAGAGCATAACCGAAGTATGAAATCGGCCATCATGCCTGCTGCTTGATTGGTTAGAGTTTAGCAATAGGTCAAGTCTGTAAGACACCAAAAATGTTGCACTATAAAATGTGGTATTAAATTTAAGCAAGCCAGAACATTTTAAATAGGTACAAGTATATCCTTAGGTAGCAAACTTAACTTTTACCTAAAAGCAAAGACCTAGAGGCAAGTGGATCGGGAATGAAATTAAACTTTTTGCTATTTGAATTTTTATTTTTAGCTCTACATAGCTATATATTTCAAGTGAATTAGCTACTTTGAACAAAACAACAATTACCTGCTGGTAATAAAGGAAAAATCTGGCAAGCTATTGGGGAGAGAGGACTGAGTGGCAAAGAGTTAATTCACCAGGATTTAACTCATCCTGCATTTAAATGGTCACCAGTACTATTTGATGATTAAGTCAATACATCTGCACTCTAGTCAGTTATCTAATTTAACCTGCTTGTGAGATTCCTTTTACAAGTCAATGATTAAATTTGTACATAAACAGGTTATTTTCACTATTAGAACCATCTCTTGTGATATAGGTTGAAAAAACACATTTAATAAATAGTCATTCCTTTTTAAAAAGTTAATATGTAATTACTTCAGCCATAAAATCATACAGTTCATTTTTGTGTGGGTTTTTCCAACTGTTAGAACAAAGAGTTTGGTTCAAGACTTCTGTCATTCGCTAGTTCTGATCTAGGAACAACTGTCTTATACTGCTTTTAAAACAGGATCTTCCATACAGCAAGGGTAATAATTTTAGATTCAGGCTTAGTCTATGAAGTTTTGGCAACATAGCTAGATATTGGCAAGGAGATTGAGGGGAAAAAAATCAGACCCCCTAAAAACCAACATAAGTGTGCCAAAAGAAACTCCCCCCATGCAGCCAGAAGAGAGTTTCTGACGGCTTAGCTAATGTCATTTCCCTGGTGGCTTAGCTGTACCAGCAGAACTCTTCCTGCCATGTCAGTTTATGCTGTATCTCCAATAGGGGGTTCTGCCAGCATAGTTATGCCAGTAAAGCACAAGTAGTATAGATACACTTTCAGATACAGGTTTTAACAGCCGCTATGGCCCCCTCCTCTCACAGAACCACTCTATCACTTCCTTCTCAGCCATTCTGTGCCACTCAATTCTGCAAGATAGGGTATTTGTGATACATAGCACTTTCAGGCCTTGCCAAGCTGTAAGACTAGTCATGTAACTCTTTGACTTATAGAAGAAAAATCTTCTTTCAGAAATCCACAAAATAAACACTAGTGGTGTGAGGGTTAGCATAAAGTACATGAACTAGTCTAACAGGACTGGGAACACAGAAGGAGTGAATAATGCATGGCTTACTGCTGCTGGAGAAAAAGCAAGTTCAGTGTAGGCACCAGAGAAATCTTCCACAAAGTACCCACTTACTTCATGCTAAAGTTCACACAAAAGTTTTCTTTTTTTATAAGAAAAAGAAAATTCCATTAAAAGTGACATGGGGTCTGTACAGCAGCTGTAGAACCTGGAATTACTTAGCTCAGTTTTTTTTTTAAGTTGACAAGGTTTCAAATTGAGTGTCCTTTTAACTAAATACTGGCCTTATTGGAGCTTTCAGACCTCATTCTTGTTTTTAATCTCTATTGCTGTGGAAGAGTCTCACACCAACAGAGCAACTTGACTATACCAGTGAAACTGACAAACCAGGAAGTTGTCAAATGCAAAGCAAACAAACTGGCAAAATAATAAAAGTTTCTAATCTTTCAGTTAAAGAAATCCAACACCACTGAATTGAAACCAATTTCAGACAGAAATATGATTTTAAAGTTGACTAACTAACTGCAAAGATTAGGAGAACAGGTTGTGTATACCTCTATCTTAACACTCAATATCCAAATCTTGTTGGTGAGGCAAATCTGGCATGTAGTCAACTAGCTCCTTAATGCATAAACTTTAGTTTAACTTGCCAAGGTTCAGCAAGTCTCAGAAGTACAAATTAGCTTTCAGTTGTATGTATTCATGGAAAAGTAATACAGCAAAACACAAAATGTCCAGTAAGTTCTTAGAGTGTATTGGGGCAACTTTTTGTTTAAGAAGGTGGATTTTCGACTTGATTCTAACAGGGAGGAACTAGTTGCAAATCTGAAGATCGAAGGCAATGGGGTGAATGTGATCACAAAATGATAGACTTCATGTTTCTAAGGAAAAGAATGAGTGAGAACAGCAGAATATGGGCAATGGACTTCAAAAAAAGCATACTTCGACAATATTTCTCTGTTAGTATGGAACTCTTCCAAATTCAGAGAGCTGGTAAGTAAGAAAATCTAAGGGAAAAAAGTTTTAGAAAGCTGGCAGTTTCTCAAAGAGACAAGATTAAAGGCACAACAGCAAATTATCCTTATGCTATAGGAAAAATAGTAAGAAGTCAATATGGCTCCATCAGAATCAGAAAATCAAAAAGGAATCCTACGAAAAGTGGAAACATGAATGGAAAATGAATACAAAAGACCTGTACAACCATGTAGGACAAAATGAGTTACACCTAGCAAAAAACATAAAAGGCAATAAAAGAGGTTTTCTACATACATGAGCAAGAGAAAGACCAAGGAAAGTGTGGGTCCTCTACTTAAGGATGGAAAACTAATAACTGACAGCATCAAGAAGGCTGCGGTGTTTAATACATATTTTGCCCCAGTCTTTACTAAAAAGGTAATTTGTGATCCAATACTTAACACAATATTAACTTAGGGGAAGAAACCCAAGCCAAACTAGGGAAAGAACAGGTTAAAGAATAAGGTCATGTCTACACTAGTGAGCTTAGAAGCACAGCTGTACCAGTCTTACAGTGGCACAGCTGAGCGACACCCATGAGCAACATAAATTTTGCTGACAGAAGTGATAGTGTAGACTTGGTCTAAGTTAAAATGTATTCAAGTTGGCAAGACCTTATGAAATTTACACTAGAGCATTTGAAGTAGCTGAAGCAATCACAGAACCATTAGCAATTATCTTTGAAAACTTATGGAGGATGTGTGCAGTCCCAGAGGACTAGAGAAGGAGAAACATAGTACCTATCTTTAAACAAGGGAACAAAGAGGACATGGGAAACCATAGACCAGTCAATCTAATGGCGATACCTGGAACAAATTATGAATCAATTTGTAAGCTCCTAGAGAATAACAGGGTTCTAAATATATGCTAATACTGGATTTGTCAAGGACAAATCATACAAAACTAATTTCTTTCTTTGATAAGGTTACTGGTCTAGTGGATGGGGGAAAACTGTAGACAGGATATCTTGATTTTAGTAAGGCTTGTGACACAGTCCCACATGACATTCTCTTAAGCAAACTAGGGAAATGTTGTCTACATGAAATTACTATAAGGTGGGTTGTAGCGAGGAGGTGCGACTCCTGCTCTGTCAGAAGGGGAAAGACCTGAGATTGCCCTCCTGCTGGGCAGAACCAGACCACCTGCAGCCACCTCACCGGAAGCAGAGGGGCAGGACAGGAAGCTGGACTATAAAAGGCCAGCCTCCTAGCTCAGTAGGGGGAGAGTTGCCAGAAGAGCAAGACATCTCTTCCTTGCTGCTAGGGCCTGGAGCTGAAGGAGATGGCTGCCTGACCAGAGGAGTTACCTGAATTACCAGAGACCAGCAACACCAACGAACTGTCGGGGCTGCCACTGGCAGTTTACCCTGGAGAGACTGAGGACAACCCCAGAACCCAGGTGTCCCAAACTGGGGTGGGTAGGAAGGAGTCCAGGAGCACCGAATAGGGTTCAGCTGTGGAATTATTGTGAACTGGCCATGATGTTGCAGGAAGATCCCTGCTGACGTAGTGACAAACTACCCCGCCACTAACAGGGCCCTGGGCTGGAACACAGTGGAGTGGGAGGGCCTGCATCTCCATAGCCCGGGTACCCCATCTGTTGAAGGTGGCCACCTCCCCACTAGAGGCCAGGAGGCCTGAATTTGTCTGGTGCCCGCCAAAGCTAGGGCACCAGGCACACTTGCTGTCGCTCCCAGATGAGAACTAATTCCCCACCCTGAACTGCTGGACTGTATTGCACAGACTCAGCCTGAGCTGTAAACTGAATTGCCCTGAAAGAGGGACTTGGGGGGGAGAGACTAATTAAGGCCTGGGCTGATTGTCAGCCAGGCCTGCTAACTGCCCTGACTAAGGGACTGCGCAGAGGGACTAACTGCTACTTGGATTAATCACGAGGTGGACTCACTAGCTGGGAGCTGCACCCTGCTTGAGAAAAATCGAGGCAGCACAGCCTCCCGCCCTGTCAGAAGGGGGGAGATGCACGCCCCTTTTTACATGGAGATGCACAACTAGTTGAAAGATCGTACTCACAAAGTAGTTACCAGTAGTTTGCTGTCATACCGGGGAGGACATATCTAATGGGGTCCCAAAGGGTCTGTCCCTGAGTCTGGTCTCATTCAGTATTTTCATTAATAACTTGGATAAATACGGGGGGAGTATGCTTATAGAATCTGCAGATGACACCAAGCTACAAGGGGTTGCTAGCACTTTGGAGGGCAGGATTAGAATTCAAAATGACCTTGTTAAATTGGAGAACTGGTCTGAAATCAACAAGATGAAATTCAATACACTTTGGAAGGAAAAATCAAGTGCACAAATACAAAATGGAGAATAACCAGATAGGCAGTAGTACTGCAGAAAAGAATCTGGACCATCCCCGATGTGGTCCCAGCACAGATACCTACCAAAAATCAAACTTTTATTGTTCGTATAGATAATTTAAAAACAAACACCTAAACAACATGGAATGTATGTTGGAGGACAGCTGGAAGCACAAAGCATCTGCAAACCATTATATCCCACAAATTGTGACAACTTTCTTCTCATCAAAATAGCCCCAGACATTTCTTGACCCTAAACAGTGGGAGGAAAGAGAAATCCTAATTATGTTTTTCTATGAAGGGCATAAGGAGAGGGAGATATTTTATATTCAGTATAATCATGGCTTGATGTTTGATCCAGCCCTAAGTTGTGTTATAACGAAGGGCTGAGGTTTAGAGTGCACAATATAGTTTCATCTTAGACTTTATCAAATACCACTTTTCTGGTAAGTGAATAAAACTACTTATCTTACAATACATTTATCCTCAAATATAGTTGCAGTTGTAAAACTTAGGAAAACTTGACACTGCATATTTTTATAAAAGTTCAACCCCAATGCTATGATCCTACTCCACATATTCCAAGTCTTCTGTCTCCATTTATGTTGGGAAGGTCATTAGCACACACGTAAATCACCATGCATAAAAACTGATTTTGCTGGGGTTCCCAAGTAGGGCATACCAAACCAAACGTCATCTTTTCATATCACTGAATGATAATTATTTTGTGTCCCACCCAACAGAATAACTTGTTATACATGCCATGGCAGCCATTGAAAAAGTTTGACATTACCTAGTGTTATCACACATGTACATCCCATGCTAAGGCCCTGATCCAAAACCCACTGAAGTAAATGGGAATTTTTCAACTGATTTCAATGGACTTTAAATGAGGCCTTACAAGTTTGCGGCGGAAACTGAGGCACCAGATTCCACTGTGTGGTGTTGGCACGTGTATCCCGAAAGCATCTCCCAGCCCTCTGTCTAGAAAACTGCACATAATAGTGGTGTTAGACAGTGCTAGATTGTACTGGTGGATGTATAATGCAAATGGTTTCTTTTGTAGACTGAAACAGGAAGTGATTGAATTTACAGTATTGTGTTCACAGCATTTTTGCTTTATTATGACAAATGTGAGATGTTAGGTAGGACTTGAATTTCAGATATTATAACTGTTCAATTTACCATACCTAACAAGCACAAGGTACCAAAAATGAAGATCTAGCTAAACAGGAAGGCAGTATGAAAGTTGTTTTGAAAAGTAAAATTGTTTATAGCACTAAAAAGTCACAGTGCATCAATGGTATAATCAAACACCTACATAATATATATTTTTAAAGAACATAAATATTTAGTAAATTCACTATGACATGAAAATAAGTTTCACATTCTTCCACACTTTTTTAAACTGTGGACAAAAAAAAGACATTCTCTAGACAGAAACAGCTCAGCTTCACAAATACTCCTTTGCTCCTTAAACATTCTTAGATATCACACACAGAATTTGCCATTCTGCTGCAGCTAACCTAGAAGTTTCTCCATAAAATCTAAGTATCACAAAAACAGGATTATATTTAGTGGACATGCACTAGTAATCTATACAATTGAACATTACACCAAGTAATACTGAATAAAACAACATTTGAAAATAAATCCTCGCCCTCCAATATGCTTGGTGACTGGAAATGTCAGTTTCATGGCACAGATTACAAAAAGAGTAGTAAAAACATTTTAGATAACAAAAAGAAATATTAAAAGTTATTCAAGAAGCCTATGAATTTTTCATATAGAGATGAAACTGACCCACAACAGCTGTCAAAATGGACATATATTTACAAATGTTAGACTTGAATGACAAGGAGTAGTGGAAAGCTTGTTCCTTTCCAACAGAAACCTAGGGATTTGAAAGTGTACAAATCGCATATACTTTAGAAACTCATCCATCTTAACTGTGAGCAAGATAAGAAGGGAGAAGACAAAGTGTAATATTCCTCACCTGCTTTAAGGGTCTTTTCACTTTCAGCTTCTAAACTAGAGACAGGAAGGCTGTACTGATAAAACCTTAGAGCAAAGAGAACATCACTGTGCTATTTCCCTAACATTGCGTATTCTCTTTAGCTGCAGCAAAGCATCACCACTAGGTGAAGGCAGGGTTCACCCCAGAAAAAAAAAACCCACCTGTTTATCATGCACATGAAAGGTAAATGCAAAACGTCACACAGCAGCCAACCGCCAAGTTTTAAAAAAAATAAACCTACTGTAAGACACTAAATGGTAAACCTGTCAAGTACTAACACATTTTCTTCCAAAGTGCTAAGCCATATTTGTTAAAGCTTTGGCTAAAACAGAATACTTAGAAGAGTTTGTAGTTGAAGCAGTTCTTTCCCTCAGTGATGAACTACAGTTATAGCTCACAACTGGTGTGGATAGAGTGCTATAAAATAAGATAGTCTCGCTGCAACACAATGCCATCATGCTGGAATTTTAAAAGGGGATTTTTGTTGCAAAATTGTATTTCCAAGGAAGAGAATCCTTTAGAGCAAAGTCTATGATAATTTCCACGATAAAGTCTGCCATTACACTGGATATACCAGGACTTTAGAATTGTCTGAGAAGATTTTGTACAATAAAATGTTATCTGCCAAGCACATGTGCACAGGATAATTCTGCAACAGGAGTCAAAGACCAGAAATTAGAGAGTGCACAGGGACTGCCCGGGGGGGGCGGGGAGAGAAGGTTTCCTTTTTTAATATAATTTTTTTCTGATACTGAAATTAATGAAATCTAGCAGGTAGCAAGATTTTTTTGAAGTGTCAGAAATTTTTCCCTTAATCCTTCATCTTGGTCTACTGAAAACTTACCTGGACTATTACCAATAATCTAAGTCTTTCAAGGAATCAGATTACTACTGTAAATACCTTGGAGCCAAAATGGTATGCTGTTATCAGAATTGAGTTCTTCAACGTCTTTTACAGTGACAGTAGTTAGCAAATCACCACCATTACCATACCCCCACAACATCTGCTACTATTGACTACTACCATTGACTACTTTAGACCCTCGATATTTCACCTAAGGGCTGGTATAATTGTGTCAAGCATATTAGCAGACCAACAGCTTTTCCTGGACTAAGTTAAGACATTCCATGCTGGAACCTTTGCTTGATCTGATACCATAAACTGGGAATAAAAAAAGCATATCTTTGATAACAATGGAATGCACTGGAGAAGGTTATTCAGTCCCCTGGGGAAAAAATTAAATTAAAAATAAAACCCAGAATACCATCTAATTATAATAAGAAGTATGCTCTGTGAGTAGTCTGAAGACATCCCAAGTACTGTCCATGAAGATGACGGTGGTGTCTCCTTAATATTAAAGAAATCACAGCTATAAAAATTAGAGTCCTCTCTCCAAACCTTCTCGCAAAGCCTATTTATGTTCCTTTGTTGGTGCATAGTAGAGTTCCATGGGTTTGTTCACTTTCCAGTATTTCTCACTGACCAGCTCCAAGGAAAAGGAACCATTTAATACCTAAAGGAGGAGAAAAAACCAACAGTTCCTAAAATATATTTTCCATCATCTCGCTATGAACTTCTGATGCTCCTGTCACTACTATCTGGTCACTGTGAAAACCCTGCAGTAGACTTAGAGAGGAACATTTACAGAACAGAAGCCTCCTGTGGTTCTGGCTGCAGTTAATAGATATTTCCTGTAGTGCCTGTCATTAAATATGTTATCAGTGTTTCTGGTTGCTTATCTGCTCATAATCCAGTGACTAGCACCTCAATTCTAATACTCGCTAGTTCCTAGCAATACAGATTAGATCTTAACTATACTGATCACCACCCTTTCATTTATTATGTTTTGGGGGGGGCAGGGGCGGTATTTCTATCCCACCCCTACCCAGTAGCATCAACCAATGTGCTAGTTACTTTCCAAACACAAGAAATCATGATCTCTTCTCGTAAGATCTTGCATGTTAACAAGAAAAACAAATAGACAAGGACAGGGGCAAGGAGAATCAACAAGCAGCAAGGTAATCAGCGGATGACTATGTCATCACGATATATCCAAACTGTTACTGGAACAATGAGTTTTTGGTGTGTTGGATGTACGGTGGTGAGTTTTTGGAAGAAGCAGACAAATGATGTGTAGAGGTTGGCATCACTGATGAATAGGGAAGCCTGCATGATGTGCAGAGCAACACAGGTGGATAAGTAAGGAGGGAAAGAACTATGCAGGAACTTGAAAGCAAAGAAATAAGCTCGAAATTTCACTTGAAATTTATGCACCAAGACCTGAGGTCAGGTCTCAGCTTCCCTACCAACAGGAATTTAAAATAGCTAGTGATACTGAGTATTCATCTAGCTAATGACTGTATTGTCCAGTGTCAGATGCCAGTGATTTTGACTGAATTTCTGTGGATTGTGTTCATTTAATATTTGCCTGTCTGAAATACTACTTAGGTGTGAATTTGACTTTATACCAATAGATGTGCCTCCTACTGATAAAAAGGCAGACTGAACTTGCCTAGGAAGTGCTACCACCCTTTGGCAATGAAGGACATTCTCAATAAGCAAGTCCTCAAATCAAAGTACCACTTTTTTCCTCCTAAATTTTTACATGTAAAATAAAGAGCCAGATCTTCAGCTTGCATAAATTAGTAAAATCCCAGTGATGTCAACGGAGCCACACCATTTACCCTAGGTCAGGGGATTGTGCCCAGAGCATCCACACATTTACATGCCACTCCTTTTCTACTATCAATGCTTTTGCTGTATGTAATGGCCACAGAACAGACTTTTGCCTAAACCATCACAGCGAATAACGCTCGTGCTATGCTTGCTTTTAAAAATGGATTATGAATACAATCCATAGACCAATTTATAGAAGGAATCCAAACAGGATAACAAATCCACTGTGCCTTCAAGTTGTAGTATTATTGGGTCTAAACATTTCTAAATTAGACAGAGTATCAACCAGATCAACTACTCACAGTGTACTGGCCATTGGCCGTAGCAATGTAAATTGTATACTGCTTCTCACTGGCTGTGTCAAGATTCATCTGGTTTGACTCTCCTTTGCTCCGAAGTTCCTCCAAAGCCAACCTCACAGCTAGGTACTTAGACAAGTGATCAACTGTGGCATTGCCCGAGGTCTTTATATACCTGCAACAGTATCAACAAAGACAACCAAACATATTTGAATCACTTGTGCAGAAAAAGGCACTAGATAAGCTGCATATGTAAAAGTAAACAAACTTGTATGTAAAGAGTACAGTGTGCCTCAGTGTTTTGACTTAAGATACAAAAGAAGCAATTTACTGAACAAGAAAAGAAGTCCTCACACCTCTCTCAACTTCCTCTTCCACAGGTTCCCACTCTATTTGTGGATAGGAAATATTACTACTTTGTCATCTGCCTGAATTAACTGATCGTGCGACATTTAAAAAAAAAAATTCACGACTGCTCAAATCCTCTGAACACAGATGTGTGACATCAACTCAGTGGACAAGAATTGGATACTTGGCATGCTCTGTGACCTCTTTCCTTGCTCTAGCTACTCTTCATTGACTCCTCATTCTCTGGAAATCTAAACCAAAGAGTGAGATTTTCAAAAGTGCCGAATGCCCTGGGATGTTGTACTTCTAGAACCCATGAGAAAGCTCTCGTGCTGAAGAGGAATAAGAAAGAAGGTTCCAGATATTTCAGGAAATTCTAGAAAAAAAATACAAACCTGCATACTGCAGATTTCAGAACTTATGAGCATGGATCTGGACCGGATTAAACAGACTTTAGAGTGAGATTCACTTTTAATAGGACTTGTGCTCCTGAGCCACTTTTGAAAAATTTCACTCCTCTTTCCCAATTTCCAAAGACAAAGGAATTCATATGTTGATCCATTCAGTTACACTCTAACACTTACATAAGGCTTATTTTTATATACATATTTTCAAAAGGAGTGAGAAGGGACTGGAATCTAAAATCATCTGTGGTCTTAAAATGCAGTCAACCAAGCATACCACACCAAGAATAGTGGTGTGTTCTTAACTTTTAGGAACTTTTTCTACAATCAAAGCGTTAAAACAGACTATAATACTATAAAATATGAACAAAAATAAATGGCTACCCTATTTAGGACGGTGAACGTGCATTCAGTTCAACAGGACAAGATATAACTAGAGAAGAAATGTCTACATTTGATTTCAAAAAGCCTCAAGAAACAACAGATTAAGTAAAAAGAAAAGGAGTACTTTTGGCACCTTAGACACTAACCAATTTATTTGAGCATAAGCTTTCGTGAGTTACAGCTCACTTCATCGGATGCATACTGTGGAAAGTGTAGAAGATCTTTTTATATACACACAAAGCATGAAAAAATACCTCCTCCCACCCCACTCTCCTGCTGCTAATAGCTTATCTAAAGTGACCACTCTCCTTACAATGTGTATGATAATCAAGGTGAGCCATTTCCAGCACAAATCCAGGGTTTAACAAGAACGTCTGGGGGGGGGGGGGTAAGGAAAAAACAAGGGGAAATAGGTTACCTTGCATAATGACTTAGCCACTCCCAGTCTCTATTCAAGCCTAAGTTAATTGTATCAAATTTGCAAATGAATTCCAATTCAATAGTTTCTCGCTGGAGTCTGGATTTGAAGTTTTTTTGTTTTAAGATAGCGACCTTCATGTCTGTGATTGCGTGACCAGAGAGATTGAAGTGTTCTCCGACTGGTTTATGAATGTTATAATTCTTGACATCTGATTTGTGTCCATTTATTCTTTTACGTAGAGACTGTCCAGTTTGACCAATGTACATGGCAGAGGGGCATTGCTGGCACATGATGGCATATATCACATTGGTGGATGTGCAGGTGAACGAGCCTCTGATAGTGTGGCTGATGTTATTAGGCCCTGTGATGGTGTCCCCTGAATAGATATGTGGGCACAGTTGGCAACAGGCTTTGTTGCAAGGATAGGTTCCTGGGTTAGTGGTTCTGTTGTGTGGTATGTGGTTGCTGGTGAGTATTTGCTTCAGTATTTGCTCCTCAGGCCCTACGCTACCAGCACTCCCAGCTACCTTCGAGACACCACTGACTTCCTGAGGAAACGACAATCCTTCGGTGATCTTCCTGATAACACCATCCTGGCCAATATGGATGTAGAAGCCCTCTACACCAAC